AGGGTCGGGTAATAGCGGTGTGGGTACCCGGGTAGTAAATTTAGACTCAACCCAGCCCTAGTTGAAGCACAGCAGCTAAAGTCCCACAACCCTTCTCATTGTTCTGTATCACCTGAGACCAGTTGGCCACCATGCCCCAAATTTGGTGGAGAATTAAGGCATAACACATGAGGCAAGAAGCTGATTTTTGGCCAAAACATGCAGGAATAAATATTTTAAGTGTGCAGATTTATTTCCATTTTAATTACCGTATTCGACGTAATAAGCGCCCCGTTCTAATAAGCACACAGCGATATTTGCTAAGATATTGGCTAGTGAACAATCCCAATTAGCACCTCTTCCGATTGATCAATGTACACAAGACTTATTTATTCGCGTATAATACCCTGGGCGCTTATTATGCCAAATACGGTATTTTTTTCTGACAATCAGTTGCCAGTCAAGTGGCTAGATTGTATGCCGAGTACTGATTGATACACTTCCTGTAGATTGGTGAATTATGGGATGCTGTTATGCAACAACTGATATGTGTGCAGTGAGTGAATGTCCTTTATCACTGCAGTCAGCAGCATTACAGCGATGTCACAGTGGTCTGTAAATAGTTGATTCTGGATAGGGTAAACCGATGGTGAATGAATGTAAAGTGACCCATGCAAATTAGGATGTGATAACGCACAGTCAAGTCGAAGAACCTCACCATGTGATCCCAACCCGTGGTGGTTCAGGGGGTCTAGAGGACCCCAGCTACCCATGCATGAGGTACTGCATGCTCAGTGACTTGGTTGATCACAGAGTGCCTCCGTGGTATAGTGGGAGAGCAGGAGGTCAGGGGTTGGATCCCCGGCTGCGTCATTCCAAAAGACGTTAAAAGATGGTACTTGTCGTTACCCTTCCTGGCGCTCTGCATTACTGGAGATCACAAGGATAACAAAGATTGGTCGGATCAGAGTCAGTATACTGTGTCTCATTGGGGTAGCATTATTAAATCAGTATTAGTCCAGACTAGTACAAAAACAAATGCTGATCTACAACTCCAAACAGAACACTCCTCAAGCTGTGGGGATCAATTCAGCCCTTAAGTCCCCACATGCTCATTTGGAGAACATTTGTTTCCCGGCTTAGATCATTCAGTACTGAGTGCTGTCATAACTTGTGTATAAGGGGTTTATATTCATTTGAGTTTATTGATTAAGTTGTCTGGTGGTAGATTTTCCTTAGTTTATAAAGATAATTGTTGTCATGTTATTTGACTTGCTGTGTTTTCATGGCGACCCTGCATGATTGCTGTTGTGAATGACAGGAATTTTGTTTGTGTCCTTCCTGGTAGGTGCTTCAGTATTTGTCTATAAATCATATTAGACCAGTCCGCTTGGTGTGATTGGTTGGTTTACACGGTTAAGGAAATAAGAACATACTCCAAACATTGATAAAGACTCATGGTAAAGAATCTTAGTTACATTCGATGAGGATGTCAAATAAACCTCCAAACACCCATTAATCTGAGTGCAGCTTTGAAATTTGCGTACACCTGCTCCTGGACCTGTGGAAAGTATGGGAGTTAAGAATTATAATGGCTTAGATATATGTGATATACACAGATACAACCATAATTTGTCATGGATATGCCTATGATAAAGTATTGGGGTTATAATTATTTAGATATACATCCGTACTCCAAGCATATGATTAAGTCTATGTCAAAAACATACTCACTCATTCTCTGTATAACGAGGGGCGGTCGGGTAGCCTAGTGGTTAAAGCATTCTCTCGTCACGCCGAAGACCCGGGTTCGATTCCCGACATGGGTACAATGTGTGAAGCCCATTTCTGGTGTCCCCCGCCGTGATATTGCTGGAATATTGCTAACAGCGGCGTAAAACCAAACTCACTCACTCACTCTGTATAACAAGCAGTAAAATCACCAGAAACACTGGATACCTAGCTGCATCATGATATGTGACTGTGGCCTTAGATAATTAGATCTGACCAGACAAGCCAGTGGTCTGTATTATGAGCAATGATCCACATCTTCGGGGTATGTTGTCAGCTATCACCCAAGTCACCAAGTCTGACCTCCCAACCTTTTGTGTTGCCATATTCCCCTTGTGTGTCTTAATCTGTGTGAAGAATTGGAAAAGATAAAACAAAGGTACAATGCACAGTTGTTAAAACATATGCTCTCTGTCAGTGAGAGCAGTATATTAATTTGCCTCTTATCTTCAACTTGGTACAATGTTTTATTCTGAGTGTACACAATATAAGGCTATTCCACTTCTGGGCCCACTTGCATAAAGCGATCTTAGCACTAAGATGATCATAACTCCCATTCTTTAACATAGGCTTACAATAGTCGTAGCGCTAAGATCGCTTTGTGCAAGTGGGCCCTGGTTAAACTGACGTTCTTAAGTGTAGAAAGGACAAAGTTTGACTGCATGATCGTTCACGAATATCTACGACCCATCTCAGTAAACAAAGCTAAGACATTCTGGCCATACTTGATGTTAATGTATTATGATGCGCGGTCATTGTGACTGACTTAATGAGGTAGTTCTTAACAGACCTTTCTCATCTAATGATGATGTTATTTAAATATATTTGAATATATTAGAAACTGCATAAGATGTCATTGCAGAACAAAGTGAGCATACATTCACTCATGTCACCTCTCAGTTTGAGGAGGGGTGGCCGGGTAGCCTAGTGGTTAAAGCATTCGCTCGTCACGCCGAAGACCCGGGTTCGATTCCCGACATGGGTGCAACGTGTGAATCCCATTTCGTGTGAATCCCATTTCTGGTCCCTCCCGCCCCCCTGAAATTGCTAGAATATTGATAAAAGTGGAGTAAAACCATACTCACTCACTCATTTTCCTTTTGAGGAACTACTTGATTCCGTGATACAGCTGGTTCTTGTATGGCCGCCCGTGTAAACATGAAGTCACACATACTAAAACAATATTTTGTATAGATCTAGATCCTTCGAGGTATAAAATAGTGATGTGAAAAGTTATGGGTATGGACTTTCCCTTTGTGTGAGTTCATTGGAGTATGAACCTTCATGGAGTGAGGGCCAAGCAAGCCCTGACATTCATACAGTTTGGCCCTCACTCTATGAAGGTTCATACTCCAATGAACTCACACAAAGTGAAAGCCTGTTCCTAAATATAGCTGGCCCAGTCGTCTAAGGCGCCGCAATTCGCTGTGCAGAGTTGCATCCCTTGGGCACGCCAGAAACCTATGATTGTGGGTTCGAATACCGGTTCGCCCTGATTATGTTTCTAGGTTTATCAGCACCATACCCGTGCTCGTGAGTTTGACTGAAGTGGTAAACGTCTGAGACCTGCATCACTTCGGGCTTTCCTCCCACATCAAGCTGACTTGCATGCCGTGATATGCTTGGAATACTGTTAAAAGCGGCGTTAAACCAAACTCACTCACTCACTCCTAAATATAGCAAACAATAAACCAGAATAACAAACTGATGAGCCGACTGGGACGCTAATTGTTCAGTTGGTTCCAACTGTTACTGGTCTGCTAGGCTGCACTCATCAAAGTTCCAACTATATGGCGGCAGTTTGAAAGTAATTGCGTCTGGACCAGACATTCTAGTCATTGACAATAGGAGTATCGATCGACACAATAGGATACAATGATATGCATCAACCAAGTCAGCAAGCCTGACCACCCACATCTTTCCTGGTCGGGGCTCACTGATCATGAGGATGTTTTTGCACATCGCGGGAAGGGCTTTATACCACAAGACAGCCATCTTTCCTCAACCAGACAAATAGGGGGTGGCTATCATTGAAAGCGCACGAGTTTGTACTGGGCCTGCTGTGAAGGGAATAAATCCACTGTTTTGGAGTCACATGACAGTGGGGGCGGTCGGGTAGCCTAGTGGTTAAAGCGTTCGCTCGTCACGCCGAAGACCCGGGTTCGATTCCCGGCATGGGTACAATGTGTGAAGCCCATTTCTGGTGTCCCCTGCCGTGATGTTGCTGGAATATTGCTAAAAGCGGCGTAAAACCATACTAACTCACTCACATGACAGTGATCCACATTTATTATATATCATCGAGTTTCTATATTTTCCTCCTCTGCACATCTGATATGTATCGGATAAGATAGATAAAACTGATGGTGATGCGTGCAGACAATATGAGTGGTTGAATTTATTGGTAACAGATTTACACCTGTGTGTATAACTAACTTATACCCGATCTGGGCGGTGAAAAACATATATTTACCTTTTACTCCAATTCATTTCAAATTCACTTTAATCAGTTGTAAACAGTAAGTGAACATGCCGAAACATACATAAAATATTCACACAAAAATTCATTGCAACAAAAGTTTTCCGACACAACTAACTTCATGTTGTTAGAGATAGTTGTTGGAATAACTTTTATTTTTAAGTATTTTTAGATACACATTCCTGTATTGCAATATGTTCTGTAATACTTTGCCAGCATGACAGGGAGTGCGGATCTGTAACTTTATCATAGAAAGAAATATGTCACATGTGACATCTTCTGTTCAAATTCAACATGTTCAAGAGACCTATGTAATGTGATAACTTTCTGATATTTGCACGTGCATTTTAGCAATTCTCAATTCTGAATGGTTGGCTGAAGCAATTTGATGTCACAGTGTTTCATTGTTGAGAACAATATGTATGTCTTTATCCATTGTTCATGACGTCACAAATTGATAACATTATAACTTTAGTTAAGTTTCTGGGTTGACAGTTGATATGTTTTTTTGTTTGTTTTAAATGACAAGGTATTTTTTGGTATTTAATGATTTTAATTTTATGTTTTATTTGTATATTTCTTTATCATGTTTATTGTTTATTTTTAAAATGTGTCAAATAGTGCATATATGATGAGTTTTAAGTACTGTCCTAGCTTGGTTTGTGAAAAATATGCTGGTAATAATAGATGTGTCTTTTCTGTGATGAGATATGTATTGACTTGATTAAGATGTTTGACAATTTGCTGTCAGATGGTACCATGGGCGTCTGGATCGTCAGACAGCGGAGGTGCGTCTCCAGGAGGCCAGTAAAGAGGGGAGCTACCTCATACGGGAGAGTGACCGCAAGCCTGGTTCCTTCGTCCTCTCCTATCTTGGCAAGGCCAATCTGCTGACACATTTTCGGTAAGTCCTCTCCTGTCTTGGCAAGGCCAATCGGCTGACACATTTTCGGTAAGTCCTCTCCTGTCTTGGCAAGGCCAGTCGGCTGACACATTTTCGGTAAGTCCACTCCTGTCTTGGCAAGGCCAATCTGCTGACACATTTTCGGTAAGTCCTCTCCTGTCTTGGCAAGGCCAATCTGCTGACACATTTTTGGTAAGTCCTCACCTGTCTTGGCAAGGCCAATCTGCTGACACATTTTCGGTAAGTCCTCTCCTGTCTTGGCAAGGCCAATCTGCTGACACATTTTCGGTAAGTCCTCACCTGTCTTGGCAAGGCCAATCTGCTGACACATTTTCGGTAAGTCCTCACCTGTCTTGGCAAGGCCAATCTGCTGACACATTTTTGGTAAGTCCTCACCTGTCTTGGCAAGGCCAATCTGCTGACACATTTTCGGTACGTCCTCTCCTATCTTGGCAAGGCCAATCTGCTGATACATTTTCGGTTTGCCACACTACAGTTGAACACATTTTAGAGTGAATCAACAATTGGTGTTTGTATGACAAGGTTATTTCAGTTAGAGGTAGCATATCTAAATTCTAACACTCTAATTTGAAAACACAGTAGATTTTATTTGTTTATCAAAGTTTGAGGTGAGGTGTAGTGAAATTGGATTTACAGCCCGTACAAGAATATTGCACTCATATGACTTGTTTAACAAAGTACATGCACGTGTGTGCTTTCAAAATACAGTGAGATGCCATGCTGCAGCCGAACATGGATACCCAACTGAGACACAGTAAACTGACTGAATGTATAATCTCCTTCTTGCCATGCACCAGGCAGGGTGACAAGTACTGTCTTTTAATGCCTCCGGCCATATGACACGGCCGGAGGTCATAGTCTGAAATATGTGTTTGTTATACATTTCCTTATGAACAATAATAAAGAGAAATGTTTCCTGATTGTTAGAATCATCGCCATGTGCGGAGACTACTACATTGGAGGCCGTCAGTTTGAGTCCCTGTCTGATCTGATCGGGTACTACACACAGTGGTCATGGCTCCTGAAGGAGGAACAGCTGCGCTACCCCGTACCCCCACCAGAGGTAGGCCACACCCACACAACCCTTTACCCTTATCAGAGGTAGGCCACACCCACACTACCCTGTACCCCCACCAGAGGTAGGCCACACCAACACAACCCTTTACCCTTATCAGAGGTAGGCCACACCCACACTACCCTGTACCCCCACCAGAGGTAGGCCACACCCACACAACCCTTTACCCTTATCAGAGGTAGGCCACACCCACACTACCCTGTACCCCCACCAGAGGTAGGCCACACCCACACAACCCTTTACCCTTATCAGAGGTAGGCCACACCCACACTACCCCGTACCCCCACCAGAGGTAGGCCACACCCACACAACCCTTTACCCTCATCAGAGGTGGGCCACACCCACACTACCCTGTACCCCCACCAGAGGTAGGCCACACCCACACAACCCTTTACTCTTATCAGAGGTAGGCCACACCCACACTACCCTGTACCCCCACAAGAGATAGGCCAAACCCACACTACCTTCCTCCCCCCCCCAGAGATAGGCTACACCCATGAGAGATAGGCCACACCCACACTACCCTGTACCCCCCCACAAGACATAGGCCACACCCACACTACCATGTACCCTCACCAGAGATAGGCCACACCTATGAAAGATAGGCCACACTCTCACAACCGTGTACCCCCAGCAAAGGAAGGACACTGTCTTTTGAGTTTATTTTGTGATTATCAGGGTGGAACAATGAAGGAAAAAGGGTATGTCATGTTATTTAATAGCTCAGGTAAGGAAAACTCAGAAATAGGTGACTAAATCAATAGGCTTTGTTAGAGCTTTTCAACGTCATAGTCTGTAATGCACATACTTGAGCCACTGTTATTTTGTAACCCATGAGGAATGTAGTATAATCACATAGCAGGCCTGGCCAAAGCTGGCCCAGTGGTGTATGGTGCAGCGTGCAGCGTGCAGCAATTCTCTGTGCAGAGTTGTGTCTCTTTGTTGTGTCAGGATCCTCTGACAGTGTATATGATTCCAGATTCACACTGATTATAGAAAACTATGTTTATAGCGAACACGCTTATTACGAACTGACCGATGAAACAAACTTAATTTAAGTCCCGGCCATTTGTTGTATATATGCTTTGTATATCCTTGTAACGAAGTATGGTCGTTACGAACTAAAATTGGTGGTCCCTTTGTGTTACTGTATGTGATCCATGGTTTCTCGACATCATATCTTTATTCCTGGGTTTTAGCAAAGTGGTACACATGCTCATCACACAGACATGAATGCCAAGTTAGTTTAATGTTATGTATGTTTCAGCCCGTGGATGATCGACGGCGAGTTGTCGCCATGTTGTCCTACAGGAAGATCCCGGACACAGATGAACTCAGGTCAGTTGTGTCACGGACTTTAGTCACCTCACCTGTCTGATACTGTTTCATATCTTCAAGACAGACGATGCAATACTGTCTGGTGTCTGTTTGCAGTCTAGGTTGAGTCATTGTAATTGGTTCTGCTTTGAAACTTGGACGATGCTTTTATGTACTGTTAAACCTTGTTATCTTGAAACACATTATCTGGAATGTATCGATATCTCGAACCCCGTTACTTCAAACATATCAATATCTCGAACCTATTATCCACACTGCCTCACTACATGCATGCATGCATCCATCCATCCATCCGTCCGTCCGTCCATCCATCCATCCATCCATCACATACATACATACATACATACATACATACATACATACATACATACATACATACATACATACATACATACATACATACATACATACATTGTTCTTTCATGACTTCATTTCTGGAGATTCGGACATGTGCTCTCAACTTGACAATCGGTCATGGGAAATACCCACCTGTGCATGAAATGGACTTGTCCAATATTGCTGAGGTCAGATTCTATAGAGGGAGTCATCATTATTAAAATACTGGTAATTATATGTAAAGCTTGTATATTTTATCATTATTCTTAGAGAGGCTGTACCTAGAATAGACATTTCATATACCTCATGGTTTATTCTCCCTGCAGTGTTTTATTGTATGATAAACAACTCAGTGATTGAAGTTCTGAAGTTTTTCATGTCCCTGCCTTGAATGTAGATTTGATCATTCCTTTGTGAAACTTCAGTTTTGAGAAAGGCGACACATTCATCGTGCAGAATGAGCTTGAGAATGGCTGGCTGTGGGTGACGTCAGTGAAAGATGAGGAGAGTGGTATCATCCCTGCCGCACTGGTTGAAGACCTGGTAGGTCCAGTCAATGTACTACAATTTCTTTATCAACAGGAAGTTGTCAAAGGTGTCAAATTTCAAATCTTTAATTCAACTGACCCGTTATATGACATAGTTTGGGAAAGGTCATAAGGATCTAATGTTAGTTGATAGGAGTTCCTTTCCAAATTGGGGGCACTGGTGGCCCAGTCGTCTAAGGCACCGCGATTCGCTGTGCAGATTTGTGTCCCTTTGGCACTCAAGAAACCTATGATTGTGCTTTCAAATCCCTGTTCGCCCCGATGATGTTTCTAGGTTTGTCAGCACCATACCTATGCTTGTGGGTTTCACCGAAGTGGTAAACGTCTGAGACCTGCATCACTTCAGGCTTTCCTCCCACATTAGGCTGACATGCCGTGATATAACTGGAATAATGTTTAAAGCGGTGTTAAACCCAACTCACCCACTCACCCTTCCAAATCTACTATATATAAAACCTCCTCGTGGGGACCTGGGTTAAAATAGTTTCTTAGCGGTCCATCGCTTGTTCTGAGTGGTGTCAAAATTAGATCAGGCTTGGTGACTTTGTTGGCTGCATATCACTCGAACCTGATGGGATTGAACAATGCTCCTAATATCAACCACTGGTTTGTTATTAGTTTGCCTTGTACTGGTAGAGTGTAAATCACAAACTACAGCCCCAAACTTCACTCACTCACTCACTCACTCACTCACTCACTCACTCACTCACTCACTCACTCACTCCGTGTGTTTCAGAATGGGACAGACGATCCAGTTGACAGGTGTCCATACTTCCACTGCAATATCACGAAAGATGAAGCCGTCACAAAACTGGGTCATGGTGAGTACTGGTTCACATACCATGTGTTGTCTTTGTGCAGGAATGTTTTTTGCATTTAAAATGTGTACAATAAAAATACAAATAATTGAGACCTGTGAAGATCATGCTTGCCATAAAAAGGTGACTCTGCTTGTTGTAAGAGGCGACTAAGAGCATCGGGTGGTCAGGCTCGCTGACTTGATTGATGCATGTCATTGTATCCCAATTGCGTGGATTGATGCTCATGATGTCTGGTCAAAACTTGATTATTTACAGACCGCTGTCATATAGCTGAAATATTGCTGAGTGTGGCTTTAAACAACAAACAAACAAACAAACAAACAACAAATAATTGAGAGCCATGCAATTTTCAATATTGATGGGATTGCCAGCTGTGTGTTGTAAAAACAGCACCTAGACTTACAATTTCTTTAACTTTTTTCAGATTATTATTTTTCATTTATATCAGGTGAATAGAAAGCACTGTAACAATACATTGTTCTGGTTACATAGTATGACACCATTGATGCTCATGAACAAACCACTAGTCTCAAGTCTAATTATATTTTGTTCATTCAGGTAAGTTAAGCCAGTAAATGTCCATATATAAACACTAAAGTCTGCTAAAATTGATGCCATGAGACCTATTCAGCCTGTGTAGAGTTCATGCTTATTGTGTTGACCTCTTGCTGGTGGCAGACATTGCTGAACGATGAGATCCGTCCCTTATTTCAGCGGGAGCTGGCAGCTACCTGGTGCGTCCGAGTGACAACTCTCCCGGGGCACTCTCGCTCTTCTTCCTCAGTGATATGGTCAGACGCTTTCGTATTGAAAAGAAGGGCAAGAAGTTGTTTGTAGGAGGGCGCTACTTTGATAGGTACATCTGTTTAGACTTTCTATTTTTTAGGTGAAATGTAAGAGGAGAGTCAAGAAATGGAAATTCATAATCCTTTTTTGATAGATTCTGTGGTATTGCTCATGTTATGTTTATTGTCTAAAACACAAAACAAGTAAAATATAGATTATTTTTTAATATTTGTATACTTATCCTGCATTACTCCTAAATAGGTTTACTGCTTGATCTTGACAGAGAATTCGATTCCAGACATGGGTAGAACGTGTGAAGCCCATTTCTGGTGTTCCCCGCCGTTTGCCAGGTGTTACAGGCAATGACTCCTTGTGCTATATCAGTCTAATCAATATGAAAATATCAGCTGCCAATGCGTGAAAACTGTCACATGAAAACTGTCACTAAATTTGTTGAAACTATTCTGATGTTCCCAACCTAATTCTGTTGTTTTCACTTCACTTAGCCTGGATGGTATTATTGAGCGGTACAGGACAGAGGAGATAGTGGAAGGGTACAAGCTGATCAACCCAGTATATAGGGTAAGTCTTGATGCCTACATCCAGGTACTCCTTTCCAACATTCCACCAACTTTTTCCAAAATCCCAGTACACCTTCTCAACATTCATCTAAATCTTTCAAACATCCAAGGTCACCTTTCCAACATCCCAGGACACCTTTCCAACATTCATCTAAATCTTTCCAACATCCCAGGACATCTTTCCAACATCCAAGGTCACCTTCCAACATCCAAGGACACCTTTCCAACATTCATCTAAATCTTTCCAACATCCCAGGTCACCTTTCCAACATCCCAGGACACCTTTCCAACATTCATCTAAATCTTTCCAACATCCCAAGACACCTTTCCAACATCCCAAGTCACCTTTCCAACATCCCAGGAATTCTTTCCAACATCCCAGGACACCTTTCCAACATTCATCTAAATCTTTCTAACATCCTAAGACATCTTTCCAACATTTATCTAAATCTTTCCAACATCACAGGACACCTTTCCAACATCCCAGGACACCTTTCCAACATCCCAGGATACCTTTCCAACATCCGAGGACACCTTTCCAACATCCTAGTACATTATTCCAACATTCATCTAAGACTTTCCAACATCCCAGGACACCTTTCCAACATCCCAGGATACTTTTCCAACATCCCAGGACACCTTTCCAACAAAACAAGTACATCATTCCAACATTCACCTAAATCTTTCCAACATCCAAGGTCACCTTTTCAACATTCATCTAAATCTTTCCAACATCCAAGGGCACCTTTCCAACATTCATCTAAATCTTTCTAACATCCCAGGACATTTTTCTAACATTCATCCAAATATTTCTAACATCCCAGGACATCTTTCCAACATTCATCTAAATCTTTCCAACATCCCAGGACATCTTTCCAACATTTATCTAAATCTTTCCAACATCACAGGACACCTTTCCAACATCCCAGGATACCTTTCCAACATCCCAGGACACCTTTCCAACATCCTAGTACATCATTCCAACATTAATCTAAATCTTTCCAACATCCAAGGACATCTTTCAAACTTCCCAGGATACCTTTCCAACATTCCAGGTCACCTTTCAAACATTCATCTAAATCTTTCAAACATTCCAGGACACCTTTCCAACATTCATCAAATCTTTCCAACATCCCAGGACACCTTTCCAACATCCCAGGACACCTGGCAGTGATTAAAAAAACCACCTGATTTATTTGTGTTGTTTTCAGGATAATATCGACGCATTTGATGGTCATCTGGACAAGCGGTTAACTCTGTCTGAGAGGAACACACTGTATGCATCTATCATGAGGTCAGGACCAAGTTTGCTGAACAATCGTGACGACCGCATTGAGATGACAGGTTACCTGTACAAGAGAAGTGAGTTGCCTCCCTTTGACTTAGCACCTCTGTGTCAGGTGAATACTGTATTTATATCATTTGATGTTTTTATTACATCAACACATATTTTCTATTCCTCAGTATTATCTTTGTATCATAGTACCAGTTGTTAACATTTAGGGATAATTTAGGACCTAACAAATGTTATATTTGGGATAACACTTTCTTAGTAAAGTACAGATTTACTAAGAAAGTGTTTTATCATCCCAAACTGGCTCCCACAGGAGATATCGCTTGTCATTATAAGTGACATCATTGGTTACCATGATGTCACAATCAAATGACTTCACTAATGGCTCTGCTACTGAAGCTGTTAGCAGTACTTTTTACACTTAAGACGCTGCTAATTACTGTCTACAAACTGAAAAAGTTGGAAGTAGGATGTTGGATGATAAATAATATCTCACCCCTGTGTCTTTTGATAGCAAATATATCAACACTCGTGGATAAAAGTGGAGTTTTTCAACTTTTATCAACTCGTGTGAGATATCCCAAATATAGCATTTGTTACATTTGACCACTTGTGTATTCATAGCTTTCGGCCATGGGAGCTGTGCCAATTTACGCTTGTCAGAAGGATACACAATCTAAGTGATCTAGACTACTAGTTGTTGGACTTTCATTTTTGTGGAAGCCTTGGTGGCTGAGTGGGTTAGATCGCTGACTTTGTGTGCTGGCGATTAGTTACCTCAATCTTGCAGTGTGGGTTCGAATCCCGGACGGCACTCAATACCCCATAAATACAAGAATCTATACTTTACAAAGAAAGCGTTATTACAAATATAACATTTGTTACATTTGATCACTTTCTAAAACGGCATTGTGTATTCATAATTTAGGACATTCCTTCATTGTTATTAAAGTATTGTTTACAACTTGCAGGTGAGAAGACGAAGAAGTGGAAGTACTTCTACACAATGTTGAATGGAACAGAGAAGCATCTATTCCTGTTTGAGAATGAACGAGTGAGTGTTACCATGGTTAAGGTTGAGACCAGTTGCTATAGTGGTTACTGACAAGGGCCTCATTTCTCGAAGCGGCCTTAGTACTCCAACTTTCAAAAGTATGATTATATATTGGAGTTACAACTGTCTCAGAGCTCAGGGAGCATTGTGGAACAGGGCCGATGTGTCTTGACCATGAGTTGTCTCCCCTTGTCCGAGTGAGTGAATTAATGCTGTTAATGCTGCAGTCAGCAATATTCTAGACATGTTATGGCAACTTGTAAATAATCATCCTTGGACCATGCAAACCAGTGACTGAAAGCATCACCAACGATCCACGATTTTGGTATGACATGCCTGATCCCTATTTTTATGTGAAGATCTGGGGTAGAACAGGTCTTCAGTAACCCACGCTTGCCGTAAAAGGCGACTGTGCTTGTCGTAAGAGTCGACAAACGGGACCGGTGGTCAGGCCGGTTGGTTGATGTATGTCATCTATACCAATTGTGTGGAATGATGCTCATGATGTCACTCATTGGATTGTCTGGTCCAGACTCGATTATCTACAGACCGCCATCATATAGCTGGAATATTGCTGAGTGCGGCGTTAAACAACAAATAAACAAACGAACAAATTTCATCATCTCTTATGAGCTGCATAGGACAAGCATAGGACTGTGATCATTGTAGTGTTGCTCTGTGTAATGAATTTCTCTTTTCCGGGAATGTTTCTCTGAGGAGTTTTATTTTGCTACTGTTAATTCTAATTTTGTCAGGGTGGTGGGGTAGCCTAGTGGTTAAAGTGTTCACTCCTCACACTGAAGGCCCGGGTTCGATTCCCCACATGGGTACAATGTGTGAAGCCCAGTTGTGGTGTCCCTTGCCGTGATATTGCTAAAAGCGGCGTAAAATCCAACTCACTCACACACTCTTATTTTGTCTCCAACTGTATAAATGAGGCCCTGTGGTTAATGTGTTTGTCTCACTGAACACTTGAGTTTGATTCCTAACATAAGCAGAGTTCGAAATAAGAGGGGGTCCTGGGGTCCTTAAGATTTGCTCCTATAGTATTTGAATCTAGGCACCCCTAAATCTTCAACGTTTATCATTATGTCTATCATAAGGATGCCTTGACATTCATGCTCAAGTTCGAACACTGATCACTATACCACGTTCATCCATCTTTGTCTTCCCAGCCGTGAAATAATTCTAACATGCTAATAGATACTCTCCATCCTAGCTAGTTTCAACTCTTGTTGACTATTTCAGCGCTCGAGACCAAAGGACTTGATAGAACTTCAATACAGCTGTTTGTATCCTGTCCATGACAGCTTCTTTGGAAGGTAAGTCAAGATTTATCTGGCCGTTCTCAGAGGGTTGTGGGTTCGAATCCCGGTTCACCACCATTATGTTTCTAGGTTTGTCAGCACCATACCCGTGCTCGTAGGTTTCACCAAAGTGGTAAACGTCTGAGACCTGCATCACTTCAGGCTTTTCTCCCACATTAAACTGACACGCCGTGATATAACTGGAATACTGTTAAAAGCGGTGTTAAACCCAACTCACTCACTCACTCACTCACTCAGAGGGTGATATTCGGCACTAAGTCTTCAGGAAATGTCAATGAAACTGTCAAATTAGAATTACTAATGATCCAAATCAGGTTATTATGGTTGTAACTTTGGCGAGGTCACTTATTTTTTACTGATATAGGGAATATGCTTGAATATTTACTTTTACATAATTGCAGTAAATACAGTATTGAAGTGTTTCTGAAAAGTAGCAAAAAGCTGCTCATGTTTTTTCTCTCAATTTGTCTTCCCTTGGCACTTGGGTAAGGATGTTTCACTGTTGTAGTAATGATTTGTGTAAGTGTATCAGGCAGATGGCATATGGGGATTTGATCAACGTACATCCGGAATTTGTTTCTGTCTGTGTATATTTCAAACCTGTGATCCATCGTAACACGTGACTGTGAGTTGCAACCTGCAGCTTTGACCCCTGAAGGATATGTGTGTTCCTCTTAAACACCCAACCCATGGGGACGCCAGGTTAGAATCCATCTCCTGCAACCTATACTAGTTGCGAGAGGCGACTTAATGAATCGGGCGGTCAGGCTCAGTGATTTGGTTGATTGTTTGTCATCATACCCCGATAGCATGAATGGTTGTTCATAGTATCAATCACTGGATTGTCTTGTTCAGTCTCAATTATTTACTGCTGTCATCAAGTTGGAAAAGTGACGAGACTTGGTTATTTATAGGCATCTGTGCTACAGTTGGAATAGTGACGAGACTTGGTTATTTATAGGCATCTGTGCTACAGTTGGAATAGTGCTAACTGTGGCTCTTTACCACCTTCTTTACCTCAGTCAATAGCAGATGGACCTCAGTGGTTGTACTAATGGGTTTCACTTTCCCACATGCATTTGTTTTTTTCTATTTCAGACCCTACTGTTTCCAACTGGTGTCCAACTACAACAATAACCACGTACAGACATGTTACCTCTGTGCTGACAGCGGGGATGTCGCACAGGTCTGTTGTTGTCATCAGTAGCAATGATTTAACCACTATCCAGTGTTGGATAGTACAGATGTATATATCAGCTTAATAGAATCATTAAGATATATAAAAACTTGATGCTTCCAAATTTACTACCCGGGTACCCAACCTCCAATTACCAGACCCTACCCGGGTACCCACTGTAGGTCTCAAGAGATAGGTAAAACATGTCCGATTGGGAATAGTTTGACCGTACTCCTGTCAAAATAAATTTTGATACACGTATAAACCGATCTGGTCATGCATTCACTGAAGTTGACTGATGGTTTATCATTATGCAAACATATAAAGTCAGAAGGAATGTGTGCATAGTCGGAAAGAAATGTGAACATTTATCACTTATAGTTTAACCATAGAGGGTAGTCCTGTGGGTACCCGGGTCCTACTCAGTACCCACCTGACCTGGGTACCCGATTTACCCGTCCTAGCCCTAGCTTCCATCATTAAATTAATGACCCAACCAAAACATCTGAAGTAAACTTGTATCAGTGAAACAAACAAGAATATGCACTATAAGAAAATAGCTTTATTTTGATGCCATATCACATGCCCTGCTTTTGAATACATACTGTTGAAAAGTAAGGGGTGTCCTTAAGTTTGCCCCTGTAGTGTTTTGAATCTGTAATTATAACTATTCAAAGTGATCGATTCGATTTTTTTTATATATTTTTATCTAGATATGGGGGCCATTTGTGGTATCCAGGGTTTGTCATTCAAGTTGATATGAAGTTTGACGGCCAATGGTGATCTTGTTGGCTTATGTTTTTCAAAAAGCTTCTCCTGACACTCAGTTGTGTTTACATTGTCAGTCATTGTTTGAAACTGAAACACCACCACCTTGCGGGCTATTTATGGTCAGGGTGGGGATTAAAGCCCAACTCACTTGCCCATACCTGTCCTGGTCATATGGATCATCATGGAGACTTTTTACCCACAGAGATGGATCCATGCCCTGAAGCCCTACTGTAATAACACACCTGTAAAACGGCCAAGGAGCCTGAAGGAGCTGCACAGTCTGTCAATCATCATATATGAAGCTCACAAACTTCACAACAAGTATCTTAACCACCCCTATGCCGTAGTCAGTCTCAACGAGGTGAAGGTCGGCAGAACAGAGGTCGGCGAGTCAACAAATCCTGTCTGGGAGCAAGAAATTGATCTGGAGTAAGTTGTGATGATTGGATATGGGAGTGATCAAATGATAGGTTTCTCTCTCACAGATCACAGAGCATATGTTTAATAAAACATCCAATCCCCATTCCATCCCTATTCCCATTCTCAACTATCAGCAAATATTCAACCCATTCTTAACTCTTGGAGACTGGAGGGTTCACTAATAGGTGAGGGGAAATTGGGTTTAACGTCGCGTCCAAGATTATTGTACCGGTACTTATATAGTGACGTGCATGCACATGTGTGTGTGTGTGGCTGCTCGTACTAGTCTGGACTGATGCCGATTTATAGTGCTAGCACACTGAGATACCATGCCGCAGTTTAACATGAATAGCCGACCACTCCTTGTTTTAGCCCCTTAAATCCGAGCGCCAGACAGGGTAACAATAAGTACCATCTTTTAACGACTTTTGGTATGACGCGGCCAGGGATTGAACACTGGACCTTCCGCTCTCCGGGCGGAGGGTCTACCTCTAGACCACAGATGCAGTCTACTAATACTTGGTGTTTCACTTACTAAATATTTTTTTAATTATACATATCTTCATATATGAAATACACACAAGACAATGTCTGGTCGACGCAGCTTCGCAAATGACCCAAAGGATAATCACCGCATCCACAGGCCTAGATTGCTGTTACAGGTCATATTTTAACACTCACCCTTTCAATGTGTCTGGTTGTATTTTCAGTGACATCCCGAATGATATCGAAACATTTTCTGTGACACTGTATAACAAGGTGAAGAGGGCAAAAGAAACAAAAGTTGGTGAGTATACTTATCCGGGTCCATCCCATAATATGGAGATTTCACTGCACAAGTGATCTACAACTGTATTGTAACATGTAGGTATAGACATTACCGTGAACTAAATGTGGGGGCGTTGTAGTGTCCTTTGTCACCCATATCTGTCAGCGTTATGATTGCATCCAAAAGTGGGAGAGATATGACAATTGGTATGAGGGAAAAGGTACAGTTAATCGACATAAGGATTGTGAAAATATGCAGGAAATACCAAACTGGACCTGTACGGAAAAAGGACTTGTCCGACATTTCCAGGTCGGACTCTATTTAGGGAGTCGTCATTATTAAAATTTTGGTAAATGTTTTTAAAACTTGTGCCTTTTATCAACATCCTTAAATAGGATGTACATGTCGTTGATATCACAAAAAGAAATAAACAACTCGTGGTTATTGTTTATCGTACAATAAAACATTGCAGGCAGCTCCCCTCTTGGTTTTTCTCCCTGCAGTGTTTTTTTGTACGATAAAAGACTCCCACTTGTCTTTTATTTCTTAATTAAACATGCTAAATGTATGGGTGTTGCTGTGACATATATCAGCGTGGGTGGTACTGTTATCTGTCAGTGTGGGTAGTACTGTTATCTGTCAGTGTGGGTAGTACTGTTATCTGTCAGTGTGGGTAGTACTGTTATCTGTCAGTGTGGGTAGTACTGTTATCTGTCAATGTGGGTAGTACTGTTATCTGTCAGTGTGGGTAGTACTGTTATCTGTCAGTGTGGGTAGTACTGTTATCTGTCAGCGTGGGTAGTACTGTTATCTGTCAGTGTGGGTAGTACTGTTATCTGTCAGTGTGGGTAGTACTGTTATCTGTATCCGATGTTGTGTGCAGCGGAAGTGCAGATCCGGCTGTCCCAGCTGGACACGCTGGACCAAGTGGACGACTGGTTCCCCCTCCAACCAGCTTCCCCCAGCATCAAGGGGGAGATGGGCAACATCAGACTGAAGGCGCACTACCTGCACGAGATCATCATGCCTTTAGAGGAGTACACAAGTCTCAAAGAGGTACCAACTTACTGCTGTATCTTGCTCTGATTGTAACAAGGGGGATCAAACAGATAACTGGCCATTGCCAAACCAAATGTAAACCCTGATCAGTGTTCATGTTAATATCACCACTAATACCATTTGAGGGTTTGTAAGATCCTAATTTAAGTGTACCGAGAGGACATGAGGCCATCCCATTAAGGGGCATGTCAGAATGACCTTTTGCAAACTTTGAAATGACTAACAAGAAGTCAGCATAAGCCAATCAGAAAGCAGCTTTCTCGAGCTATACCACACTAGTTTCAAACTGGTGACTCCCATTCCAGACTTTGCTCCGAAAAATATTTTTACAAATTTATCTTTTCAAAATTTGAAAACTGAACTAAAGAACATTCTGGAATGTCCGTTAGCTCATATATGACCTAGATTGTATGGCAGTACTACCCATGGGCAGAGCAAAGCCTCTTCCCTTCAAATGTTTATCCCGGTGAAGCGAGAGATAGACAATGATTTTGACAGAAACAGTTGTACAGCCTACTGTATCAACTTTTTTTAATTTAGATGATTAGAAAAAATACATTCTGACTGTCCCTTCCCTGATCTGGTAAGCGACGCTATGATTGTTCAGATGAAAGGTCATTCTGATGTGACATGGAATGGGATGTCCTCAGTTCTTTGTTCAGTGATGGAGAGAAATGAGAAATGTAAGTGTTGAGTTAATTATAATTGCATTCTTGTTTGGTTTTCAGCTGTTGTTGGGTGATAACTATGAAAATGTTATAACATTATCAAGAGTATGTGCCAAAAATGAATGGTTGGGTCTGTCCAAGTCCTTACTGAGGGTCTTCTGTCATGAGAAGAAGGAAGCCAGACTGCTGAGGACACTCAATGATTTAGAGATAGACAAGGAAGGTGAGCTTCTGTACCTGTCCATTGATTAACTTGGTAAAGTCAGTTTGTACAGTAGTCACATAGTGTGAGTTTGTTGGCCTCCTTATCATAGGTAATAACAAAATAGGTCACCTACAGGGGTACACGGGCCAACGGGCCGGCAGTTAAGTCAACAACTGACCTATCGGTCAGCCTAAGTTACTGAATTCCTGGTTTGTAAAGAAAACAATGATTGCCTATATAAACTTTAAAATAGAAAAAGCTCCCAGATTGATGATTTACAGGCCACCTTGATCATGTTGATATTACCCATGAAGATCTGGAGTAGAATAGGTCTTCAGCATCCCATGCTTGCCGTAAAAGGCAACTATGCTTGTCGTAAGAGGCGACTAACGGGATCAGGTGGTCAGGTGTTCTGACTTGGTTGATGCATGTCATCGTATCCCAATTGTGTAGATCAATGCTCATGATGTCATTGACTGACTAGTCTGGTCCAGACTAGATTATTTACAGACCTTCATATAGCTGGAATATTGCTGAGTGAAGCGTTAAACAAAAACAACACAAAAAAACAAACAAAGTCTGGTCCAGACTCGATTATCTACAGACTGCCATCATATACAGACTGCCATCATATAGCTGGAATATTGCTGAGTGTGGCGTTAAACAAAAAAAAACAAAACAATCAAACAAATTTCATCATCTCTTACATGATGCATAGGATAATCATAGGACTGTGATCATTGTAGTGTTGCTCTGTGTCTTGAATTTTGACTTTTCCGGGAATGTTTCTCTGAGGAGTTTTATTTTGCTACTGTTAATTCTAATTTTGCAATGTCGCAATGACTGTAATATTGCTGACAGCGTTGTAGAACAAAGAACAACAGACCAAGACAAGGTTCATCCGTAAAACAAAATAATAATGTAAAAATAAGATAAATGGAATAATAAGTGTTCATGTTGATCTTGAAAGAGAAATAATGAACTGTCATTCTCACTCAGTTATTATATGTTGCTTGCTGTGACCAGTTGAAGTGTCCCAGCTGTTCCGAGCGACGTCTCTAGCCACGGCCATGATGGACCAGTACATGAAGATGACTGCCACCACCTTCGTCCAGATTGCTGTCAAGGACTTGGTACAGAAGATAGTTGACAGCAAACAGTCATGTGAAGTAAGAACATTTCCTGAATAAATCTTGAAACATTCTTGTTTAGATGATGACGATGTGTAGAATTATCTTGACCTGAAGTGTTGCATGATGTAGAACAAGTGGATACATCATCACATAGGACACATAGAGGGGTGATTAGGTAGCCAAGTGGTTAAAGCATTCTCTTATCCAGGGACAGCCACTAGTCATTCTGTGACTAGCGAAAATCTTCAGGCACTTGTTGATTTCTCTTGAAAATCTATCTATTTTACATGAACTACTACATGTAGTCTGAAGTGAACTGTGGACTACCCGTAGTTGTATTTGACCAATGGGGTCTACCACTGTCTACCACAAAGGGAATGTATGACTAATACGACAGTTGGTTGGTTTGTTGTTTAACGCCGCACTCAGGAATATTCCAGCTATATGACAGCGGTCTGTAAATAATCGAGTCTGGACCAGACAACCCAGCGGTTGCTATCATGAGCATCGATCCACGTTTTTGGATTGATGACATGCATCAACCAAGTCAGCGAGCCTGACCACCTGATTCTGTTAGTCACCTTTTACGACAAGCATAGTCAGCTTTTACGGCAAGCATGGGTTGCTGAAGACCTATTCTACCCCGGAATCTTCACAGGTCAATATACGACAGTAATAAGTGGGTGTTGAGGCCTGGGAGTTACAACAGTCGTAGCACTGGGATTGCTCTATGTAACAAGGCCCTGGTTTTAATTCCCCAGATGGTTTCATTGTTTAAAGCCAATTTTGGGTGTCTCTGTCCTATGATTCTGTGGGAATACTGCTTAAAACAGCACAATATTAGGGACCCGTGAAGATTCCGGGGTAAAATAGGTCTTCAGCAACCCATGCTTGCCGTAAAAAGGCGACTGCTTGTCGTAAAAGGCGATTAACTGGATCGGGTGGTCAGGCTCGCTGACTTGGTTGATGCATGTCATCGATCCCAATTGCGTTGATTGATGCTCATGATATTAATCATTGGATTGTCTGGTCCATACTCGATTATTTACAGACCGCCGTCATATAGCTGGAATATTGCTAAGTACGGTGTTAAACAACCAACCAACCAACCAACCTATATTAGGACCCTATGTGAAGGGGCTGAAAAAATCACCAATAGAAACCCTTGATTACTATAGAAGTCAACTAATGAACATTGTTTTATTTCACTGTGTGACCTGGTTGACAATGCATTCGCTTTGCAGTTACGTCCCTTGGGCATGCCAGAGTCCTATGATCATGGGTTCGAACCCGGTTCACCCTGGTTGGTCAGGACTATATGTGCCCGTGGGTTTCACCAAAGTGGTAAATGTCTGTGACCTGCATCACTTCAGGATTTTCTCCCACATTAAGCTGACACACAGTGACATAATATGGATACTGTTCAAAGTGGTGTTAGACCCAAATCACTCACTCACTCACTCACTCACTCATGTACAATGCATCAACAGTGAGGAATCACAGTGTTTGATCGCAAAGGCTGCAAATAATATAGTGTATGCAGAAACAAGGAGAGTCTGTAGCATCTTCATCTTCGATATGTGCCGTTATGTCAGATAAGTGATTGAATGAGAATTATTTCGTTTTATCTTCATGAGTTGACTCGAGTCATCTATGACTTTCAGCTTAATCCAGCATTTCTAGAAAACCCGTCAGATGCCAAATCTAACCAGGAGTATTTTCTCAGCCTCCTCAACAATGTCATAGAATCCATCTTCAAGGCAACAGAGTACTGCCCCACGTAAGTTACTAGCAATATATTAACTCTTGTAATATAAAAAGTAAGTGATTACTTGAGGGTTTTTGCACTACATTAAGTAGTAAATTTAGATACTTTTCATAAAATATTTTCATTTGGTAGTAATGGGTTTTGTTTTAGAAAAGAGCTGATTTAAAGAATATACTTATTTATTGACCCGAGTGTGAGTCCTAGTATAGCGAGTAGGGAATATACCATCATGCTTTTCACAAGATCGGAATATAATGGGGATCTGGTGTAACATTATTATGGACTGGCTGATTGATAGTTGCTCATACTGTCAACCACTGGTTTGTATGGTCAGAGTAGATCATCTATAGGCTGTTGTGATATTGTCGTAATATTGCTAACTGCAGTGTAAAACAACATTTGCTGACTCGCTATTCAATGATAAAGTGTCGATTTAACCAGAGTGTCATGTTTCAGGGTGTTGAGGTAACCAGAGTGTATTGTTTCAGGGTGTCAAGGTAACCAGAGTGTAATGTTTCAGGGTGTCGATGTAACCAGAGTGTAATGTTTCAGGGTGTCGAGGTAACCAGAGTGTAATGTTTTAGGGTGTCGATGTAACCAAAGTGTAATGTTTCAGGGTGTCGAGGTCACCAGAGTTATGTTTCCGGGTGTCAATATAACCAGAGTGTAATGTTTCAGGGTGTTGAAGTAACCAGAGTGTAATGTTTCAGGGTGTTGAGGTAACCAGAGTGTCATGTTTCAGGGTGTTGAGGTAACCAGAGTGTAATGTTTCAGGGTGTCGAGGTTACCAGAGTGTAATGTTTCAGGGTGTCGATGTAACCAGAGAGTAATGTTTCAGGGTGTCGAGGTCACCAGAGTGTAATGTTTTAGGGTGTCGATGTAACCAAAGTGTAATGTTTCAGGGTGTCGAGGTCACCAGAGTTATGTTTCCGGGTGTCAATATAACCAGAGTGTAATGTTTCAGGGTGTCGTGGTAACCAGAGTGTAATGTTTCACGGTGTTGATGTAACCAGAGTGTAATGTTTCAGGGTTTTGAGGTAACCAGAGTGTCATGTTTCAGGGTGTTGAGGTCACCAGATAGTAATGTTTCAGGGTGTTGAGGTAACCAGAGTGTAATGTTTCAGGATGTTGAGGTCACCAGAGAGTAATGTTTCAGGGTGTCGAGGTAACCAGAGTGTAATGTTTCAGGGTGTTGATGTAAATAGAGTGTATTGTTTCAGGATGTCGTGGTAACCAGAGTGTAATGTTTCAGGGTGTCGATGTAACCAGAGTGTAATGTTTCAGGGTGTCGTGTTAACCAGAGTGTATTGTTTCACGGTGTTGATGTAACCAGAGTGTAATGTTTCAGGGTTTTGAGGTAACCAGAGTGTAATGTTTCAGGGTGTTGAGGTCACCAGAGAGTAATGTTTCAGGGTGATGAGGTAACCAGAATTAAATGTTTCACCAGAGTAATGTTTCAGGGTGTTGATGTAACCAGAGTAATGTTTCAGGGTGTTGATGTTACCAGAGTGTAATGTTTCAGGGTGTTGATGTAACCAGAGTAATGTTTCAGGGTGTTGATGTAACCAGAGTAATGTTTCAGGGTGTTGATGTAACCAGAGTGTAATGTCACCAGAGTAATGTTTCAGGGTGTTGATGTAACCAGAGTAATGTTTCAGGGTGTTGATGTAACCAGAGTGTAATGTTTCAGGGTGTTGATGTAAATAGAGTGTAATGTTTCAAGGTGTTGATGTAACCAGAGTGTAATGTTTCAGGGTGTCGATGTAACCAGAGTGTAATGTTTCAGGGTGTTGAGGTATATCTGTGGCTGCCTTCAGAGGAAAGCCCAGCAGAAGTGGCCTGATGATGAAACTGTCAAAACAAGGGCTGTCAGGTACGTGCATACACCAAGAAAATACCATTTCGTATGAACATGCTATTTATGTACAAGTGTCAGTTAGCAAACATCAGCAACTTTGGTCAGACACTGCATTCCTGATAACCTTTTGTTCTGTGGGGATTTTGGGTTAGAATTGATCCCTAGCAACAGATGCTGGTCGTAATCATAGACTGGGTTGTCTCAGGCTCCACTCTGTCATTTACATGTGCCATCATAGCTCGAATATTGCTGAGTGCGGCATTCACACAAAACAGCAACAGTTAGCCAACATGTAATCAGTAACTGAAGCCTACACTGTTGTTTTCAAAGATTGCAGGGACTTGTTGACAATAGTAGTCAGTAGTGTATCAGAGAAACTAGGTATCGAGGACGATGTTAAACAGTTGTCAACCTGAATGATCCACAACTTCTTTCATTATGAAGGGGCAGTCAGGTAGTCTAATGGTTACGGCATTTGCTCGTCACGCCAAAGACCCGGGTTTGATTCCCGACATCTGTACAATGTGTGAAGCCCATTTTTGGTGTCCCCCGCCATGATATTGCTAGAATATTGCTAAAATCGGCGTAAAACCCTACTCACTCACTCTTTCATTATGATGATTACTTTTACAGCGGTTTCATCTTCCTTCGGTTGTTGTGTCCTGCGATCCTGACCCCAAAGTCTTTCAATCTTGTCTCAGGTAATAAAACATTTTTTTGTGTTACGATAGTCACCGACTTACAGACAGGGAATAGTGCCAGGGTTGATTGTTTGCTTGTAATCATTGACAGAACTTTCAGTGCATTGCAATTGTCCCTGGCCCTGTGACGTCTATGCCACCTTTATACATCAGTAGTCCGCATCGAAAGGCTGCGGCTTGGAGTATGGAAAAAATAGGGCCCAATGCAATGGTGATCATGACTTACTTTAGCTGCCAGGATGATCTGCTGTTCATGGCTTTAAATCTCACACTCAGAATAGCTTGGTGACAATAGGTAATTCTACACCAAGTACCCATCCTTCGGAACTCACTAAACCAGCATCAATGTTCTGGTCCAGATTTCATTATTGCTGCGGGTGGTCGGGTAGCCTAGTGGTTAAAGCGTTCGCTCGTCATGCCGAAGACCCGGGTTCGAATCCCGACATGGGTACAATGTGTGAAGCCCATTTCTGGTGTCCCCCGCCGTGATATTGCTGGAATATTGCTAAAAGCGGCGTAAAACCAAACTCACTCACTCACTCATTATTGCTGCAATTTTGCTGAGTGCAGTGTTAAACAACAAACAAAACATATTTAGTACATTGTGAATTCGTATATTAGAATGTGTAATAGTTGTTCTTGTTCTCTGTTTTCTTTAGAAAATCCGTCAGAAACAGCTGCACGGAACTTAAAGTTGGTTGCCAAGGCAATACAGAACTTGGCCAACCTTGTGGAGTCCGGCACTAAGGTAGTGTATTGTCAGGCCAGGGCGTGATGTATTCCTGGGTCCAAACCACAACAGACAGCCTCCGTTGTCTAGTGGACAGGGCATCTGCCATTAGAGAGGAAGGTCGTGGGTTTGAACCCCGGCCGAGTCATAGTAAAAGACGTTAAGAGATGGTATTTGTTGTTATCCTGCCTGGTGCTCGGCATTAAAGAGCAAAAACAAGGATTGGATGGCTTAGAGTCAGTTTAGTGTGTGTCTGAGTGGGGTATTCATGTTAAACTGCAGCATTGTGGGCTAGCACTAAATAATTGGTAATAGTCCGGACAAGTACAAGAGCAAGCACAGACAGACAGACAGACAGTCAGACAGACTCTCTCTCTCTCTCTCTCTCTCACGCACACAACACACACACACACACACACATGCTGTAAAACACCATTTTAGTCTGTAAGCAGAGTTTAATATTAAAGTAATGTGTGCTTCAGAATCTATTTATTGTTCCATTACAAGTATAAAAGTATGGCATGTTTGATTTTATGATGAGTTGGAAGGTCTGATAACAGCCAGGTTTGTCCGCAGGAATCGTACATGGAATCGGTCCAGCCTTTCATCAAGAAGAACAAAGAGAGAGTGGTTCAGTTCTTGGAATCACTATCTGTAAGTCAGCTAATTTAACCAATCAGTATTAAGGCAAAACTTTCGAAGTGGAATAAGATAATCTAAAGTGAACTGTATTTACGTGCTCACCACAAAAATTTGTGAGTATAATAGGTTAATTGGCAAAACAGAAGGTTACTATAGATACTGTTGGAGGCAGCATTAAACCAACTCACTCTCTAATGTGTTTTCTTGTAAACTATTTTGAGCTCACCTGATTGAAAGTCAAGCAACCTATTTTAACTTTCAATCAGGTGAGCTCAAAATAGTTTACAAGAAAACACATTAGAGAGTGAGTTGGTTTAATGCTGCCTCCAACAGTGAAAGTCAAGCAACCTATTTTAAGCAATAAAAAAATAAAAAATAAAAATAAAAAATAAATAAAAATATTTGAAGCTCACCTGACAATGTTGTAGTGCATTGTCCGGTTGTCCATCCATTTTTAACTTTTGTATGTTTGACATCTCCTCTGAAACTACAAGACCCATGGATCTGAAACTTTGTTCAAATGATCCCAGCTGTGGTGTCTCTACATCGTCATCATGTATTTGAATTACATTTATAATGTCAATAATATTTTCATATCTATCCCTGCATCCCAAAAGGCCAATGGTAAAGTCTGGAACATTTTGATAAACTGTTGCCATGTATGAGAACATTATATCCAATTCATGTTCTATCCCAACTATGCCTGGCAGAATATCCCAGTGGACAACACAATTCCAGAGTGCCCTGAGGGAGACCCTGCCCGGGATCTGGCCACCATCCATCAGCTGTGTGCTGCCCATCTTGAAGACCTTCGTGCTCAAAGTGAAGCCCAGGTTTGTACTGAAGGGATAGGACAGTCGCTGACAACCACTGGTTTGTCAGGCCTAAATAGATTTACAGGCTACAGGTACAGATTAAATATGACTGAAATCAAGCAAATGACACCCAGGAAGATTTAACTGCATGATCTAGTGGTCAAGGTCTTCTTGTTTATTGTTTGTTTGTTTGTTGTTTAACGCTGCAATATTCCAGCTATATGACGGCATTCTGTAAACAATCTTGGCTGGACCAGACAATCCAGTGATTGACAACATCAGCATCGATATGTTGACATGCATCAACCAAGTCAGCAACTCTGACCTACCGATCCGGTTAGTTGCCTTTTACGGCAAGCATGGGTTCCTGAAAACCTACTGTATACTGTGTCTGAGTGAGGTATCCATGTTATACTGTGGCTAGTAGGCTAGCACTATATACACAGGACAAGGGTCAGCTGGCTTGGAGTCTGTATACTGTGTCTGAGTGAGGTATCCTTGTTATACTGTGGCTAGTAGGCTAGCACTATATACACAGGACAAGGGCCAGCTGGCTTGGAGTCTGTATACTGTGTCTGAGTGAGGTATCCTTGTTATACTGTGGCTAGTAGGCTAGCACTATATACACAGGACAAGGGTCAGCTGGCTTGGAGTCTGTATACTGTGTCTGAGTGAGGTATCCTTGTTATACTGTGGCTAGTAGGCTAGCACTATATACACAGGACAAGGGCCAGCTGGCTTGGAGTCTGTATACTGTGTCTGAGTGAGGTATCCATGTTATACTGTGGCTAGTAGGCTAGCACTATATACACAGGACAAGGGTCAGCTGGCTTGGAGTCTGTATACTGTGTCTGAGTGAGGTATCCTTGTTATACTGTGGCTAGTAGGCTAGCACTATATACACAGGACAAGGGTCAGCTGGCTTGGAGTCTGTATACTGTGTCTGAGTGAGGTATCCTTGTTATACTGTGGCTAGTAGGCTAGCACTATATACACATGACAAGGGCCAGCTGGCTTGGAGTCTGTATACTGTGTCTGAGTGAGGTATCCTTGTTATACTGTGGCTAGTAGGCTAGCACTATATACACAGGACAAGGGTCAGCTGGCTTGGAGTCTGTATACTGTGTCTGAGTGAGGTATCCTTGTTATACTGTGGCTAGTAGGCTAGCACTATATACACAGGACAAGGGTCAGCTGGCTTGGAGTCTGTATACTGTGTCTGAGTGAGGTATCCTTGTTATACTGTGGCTAGTAGGCTAGCACTATATACACATGACAAGGGCCAGCTGGCTTGGAGTCTGTATACTGTGTCTGAGTGAGGTATCCTTGTTATACTGTTGCTAGTGGGCTAGCACTATATACACAGGACAAGGGCCAGCTGGCTTGGAGTCTGTATACTACGTCTGAGTGACGTGTTGAGTATCCATGTTGTACTGTTGCTAGTGGGCTAGCACTATATACATGCAAGCATGTTGCTGTATGTGCCCAATAATATTTCATCTTACCTCAGGGGCGATGGGGTAGCCAAGTGGTTAAAGTGTTTGCTTGTCACGCCGAAGGCCTGGGTTCGATTTTCCACATGGATACAATGTGTAAAGCCCATTTCTGGTGTCCCTGGCCGTAATACTGCTGGAATATTGCTTCTTTGAACCACTTCTTGAAGAGGTTTGTGGTAGTAAGGCAGATACGTGTCAAACCACTGTACACCCATGAAGATCTGGGGTAGAATAGGTCTTCAGCAACCCATACTTACCGTAAAAGGTGACTGTGCTTGTCGTAAGAGGCGACTAACGGGATCGGGAGGTCAGGATAGCTAACTTAGTAAATGCATGTCATCATTGCGTGGATCAGTGCTCATGATGTCAATCACTGGATTGTCTGTACCAGACTCGATTATTTACAGACCACTGTCATATATCTGGAATATTGTTGAGTGCAGCTTTAAACAACAAACAAACAAAATGAACCACAGTAAAAGATTTTATTTAATTGAGATTGGAATTCTTCATTCTTGTTTCAGCCTGCCTTGAAGAGGTTCGTGGTTGTAACGGAGAAACTGACCAGCAAGAAAGAGTATATGTGCGGGTCATGACGTCAATCCCCTGCAGCTGACCACAGCGTGTGACAGACTTGAGACCAAACAAGCCAGCGGCCCATTTCATAGTCATGTGACCTGTCTCAATCATGTGACCAGCATTTCTAGATCATCCAATGATATAGGAATCCTCCACAATACAAGCATGTTGCCCAATGTTGAACCACATCACTTTACAACATTGGAGTACAGGTCAAACCACATGATCAGCCATTCAAGATGAAGTGTTTCATTCATCCAATAAGGGATCAGTTGGTTGATCACATGACAACAGACAAGGAGAAATGGAGTTGGCAAGTTCTGATTGGCTGGGAAGAAGTGCTAGCAGATTGTCTGCTGACAGACCAATGAATGCCGAAAGGAACATTGATGCATAATATCTTCAGGGACAAGTATTTTCTACTGCAGCAACAAGAAGAGCTGAATAATCTATGTATGAGTGTAGATTTCTTCTTCATCTAAGCATCATCAAACGGTGTATGATGTCAGATACGTTTGGTGACCGTGCCCGGGCAGGCCTGAGCATAGCTGCTGTATGAAATCTGCTTCCGTCACCTTTCTCTACTAGCCTCCAGTCATTCAGATGTAACACTTCATTCTATCTTTATCCTTTAAGTGCCAAATTTTTGTATAATTTTCTATATCAATTTTCTAATAATTCATATGTTTGTAGTAATATTTCTGCAATATGATCAAGTTGAAAAAAAATCAAAGATTTTCCAACATGACATGATATGTATTTTTGGATTGCATTATCAAGATATCAGGATAACAGTTTATCCTCGTTGATGATGAGGAATTGCTTGGATAACAACAGCATCTGAATCATAATGAGGGTGTTATCACGTATTTGGCAATAGTCAGTGTCAGATAAAACGTATTACATGCTATTTATTTGATTCAATATGTCATCTATATGATGTATAGTAGAATGCATCAATCTACTCACCAGTGCAATGTTGCATGTATCGACTTTGCTGTTTACAACGTCACTAGACATTTCATTGACCACAAGCTACAATTTACCATACTTCATTGCTATTCAAAAGTCATCATTTTAGTATTTTAGTACAAGCCTTAGGAGTCATTACAATTTTACCTGAGAAAACAATCAAACACTTGCTTTTAAGGATTTTATATTCATATTTTGATATCACAAATATTTACTTTAGATAATTTACATATTTTGTTCATGATAATGGGACAAAATTTTGTAAAGAAATATGCACTTTTTGAAATATTTATTCATGGTGTAATTATCCTCTGAATGTATCATGGTTGTGAAGTTTCTGGGATCGGAGATCTTTCTGGAGAAAATTCTTGGCAAACATTTAGTTTAAGTTTTAGTTCTTTAAGGGAGTACTGAGCTGTGACATTGTTGTGTATAACCGAGGCAGCAAGTCCATCTCTCTGACTTACTCCACTAGGAGGGTTCGAATCCCAGATTCGCCCAGATTATGTTTCAAGGTTTGTCAGCACCATACCCTTGTTTGTGGGTTTCACCACCAAAGTGTTTGATGTCTAAGACCTGCATCACTTTGAGCTTTCCCTCCACATCAAGCTGACGCGCCGTGATACAACTGAAATACTGTTCAAAGCGGCAACTCACTACAACTTGCCACTGTCTTTGATGAGTACAAATAGCATTGGAACGTGAATTTGTATTTTTTAATGATGTATGGTGAAACATGTCTGCGAAAATTTGGACAATACTTTTATCAAATGTTCACATTGACAGAAATGTTGAAAATAGTGCTATTATAACAGTGCTTAAAGGGTGATAACTCATTGGGAATTTCAGGGTAAATCGGTAGGATAAGTAGGTAATATATCGACATATACAATACCCAAATAGTCATGATTATAAACATTGTATGTATGCAGCCCCTTTGTTGCTGATGAAACAGTAGCACTACCAGGGCTGGTCACGGACAGATCCTCAACTCCTCATCCAGCTCTTTTCATAACTTGACCTGTAAATTTACAAAAGTTGGGTCTTATGAAAATCCAGGAAATATGATCAGTAATTTGACACTTAAATGACCCTCTCCTTCAGTTTGAACTTTTGTATAGTTATACTAAAGCCACCTCACAAAGACCGTGGAAAAGGTTACCAATAGCCATGCTTGTCACCTTGTGGGGATTCCTGGGTAAGAATAGCAACCAATGCTTGTCATAAAACCCTACAACTGAGGATCGGGCGGATAACCATTCAAACCATTATTTATCAGACTTGGGTGACAGTGGTTGGTTATGCAGGCCCACCAGTGAAAACCAACAGAGCAACCACACTATGGAACATCTACACACTTTAAATAGACGTAGCCACAAATTACAAACAAGACACAATGCTCATTAAGTGTACATCGTAATGATTAAAACCAGTCACATTTTGAAGGGAACCAAACACAGTAAACTACATGGACCACAACAAACTGAGTGTGTGCACATATGGTTTGTTGCAGACTCCATTGAAAATGTGGATGGTTTTAATCATTATGATGCAAACTTTTGTGGGTATTGGTTCTTGTTTTTGTTTCTATTGTAAGTATGTACATATTCCTTGCCGTAAAAGGTGACTATGCTTGTCGTAAAAGGCGACTAACGGGATTGGGTGGTCAGGCTTGCTGACTTGGTTGATGCATATTGATCCCAATTGTGTGGGTCGATGCTCATGATATTAATCACTGGATTGTCTGGTCCAGACTCGATTATTTACAGACTCACTCACTCACTCACTCACTCACTCACTCACTCATAAAGACCGAGACCGAGACCTGTTCCAGATAGCGATCGTAGTCCTAAGACTAACGTAACTCCCAATAGCTGAGATTGTGGAATGGGTACCTGTCCTAATTATTCCTAAATGTTTCCGCCTCTGTCTGTCCTGACCAAGCCCTGGTAGAGGGGCAAGTCATTGTGTTCACAAAGCTAAGTGCAATATGAGGGTGCTTCCTGAGTTCCCTGTGTACCTCATCATGACGTGTCTCGCCACCTGCTGTATCTGGAAGCAGTGTTCCAGTGTTCCAAATAAGTGTGTAGCTGGTCACTTGGCTAGGTAGCTCCTTCTGTCCCACAGCAAATGTGCAAGCCAACAATGGAAACATTGTGGAAACACAGCCGAATCTTGCAGTGAAGAAATTGGAAACATGGCTACTTTTTTTACCCCACGATATCTTTCTTCATTTATCGTCAGCTAAAACTAAACAACTATGACATATTTGTAAAAAAAATTAATATTTCCCTTTTCAGTCATGATATATAGGTGTGTTAATTTTTTAATTTTCAAGAAAGGTTTTATATATACACTCGGGCGGAAGATGTGTCACAGCAACTTATCAGCTTATCAAAACTTTCAAGGGACAATATGTGTACCTTTTTGGCACTGATTGTCTTTATCACTACTTGACATCAACTCAGGACCAATCTCTTTGTAAGGGGGGGGGGGGGGCACGGGTGGCACGGTTCACTCCGATTATGTTTCTAGGTTTGTCAGCACCATACCTGTGCTCGTGGGTTTCACCAAAGTGGTAAACGTCAAAGATCTGCATCATTTCGGGCTTTCCTCCCACATTAAGCTGACACGCGGTCATATAACTGGAATACTGTTAAAAGCGGCGTTAAACCTACAAGTTTAACTTGTGTATGGTTTTGATAAGCCTTCTGGACCCTGTCAAATTTCTACGCACCTGGAGTGCTACAACGACACCTATTACAAGTTATACAGTATGAGAAAAAATGTCTGACTAGACACTAGGATGGTCGGCTTGAAGTAGCCCACACAGGAAATTAGTAGCCGTGGGAAGATATGTAGGCAGTTATTTAGAACACTTGTTGGCAGTGTCGCCCGGCAGCAAGTGTGTGTTTTCAGCTGATGTCATGTGGTTAGCTACAGTTAGAAGCACGGGACTTGACTATGGACAATTCTAATCATGTGAAGTGTCCTATTTGGACATGGACCCTTGCTAGGAAAGATGGATAGATATTGTTAAAAATCAGGTGCACATTTCCTGCCAAGGTAAGGGCTTTTTAATTGATGTCCTGGATGCTGTTGTACAAAGCAATCTTAACGTTAAGGGGATCGTAACTCCCGTTCCTCAACATAGACTTACGGCAGTCGTAGCGCTGAGGTTGTTTTGTACAACGACACCCTGTTAGATACAGAAACATTGTTTCAATGTAATTGGGATAATAACTGCAAGGTTGATATACCCTACTCAAACATTTAAAGAACCCCACTTTCTTGTGACCATAGTTAACCTGATTGTACAGATTAACTATAGTCAAATAAAAAATTGGGTATTCTTTAACTTCTTGTGAGTAGTATGCGTAAGGAAATTTGAGCCAATTAGTGGTGTGTGAAGGACTGCCAATTGGCTGAACGTAGTTTCTCTTCAACATGTTTAAAATATATAAGCGTAAAAGGTTCCATGTGAACTTGTCAAGTCTTAAAGACTTGGATGGCAAGATAATAGTGTCATAGTTTCATATCTATAAGGTAGAATCAGCCGGTTCTGATACTAATATTAGATGATGTGTCATTTTGATTTATTATTCCTAACGACATACAGTCTTCCCATCATGTTATCACGTTTGATCTATGATCAAGTGTTTGATAGGCACTTAGATGTTAGAAGGACATGGAGACTTGTAACTTTTATAGATAACTACATGTACTGTTTGTGAATTCGTTTCAGGGCTACTCTATACCCCTTCATCAGTCGAGAGAGCCTGAAATGTTCATACAAACAATCAATGAGTACTTTATGCAGTGTCATGTCTTCATGTCTTTGTGATACACTCAGCTTTACTAGTTCCTTGTAGTTCAGGATCAAGAATGTTAAGACAACTGCTAAATCACCTTGTCAATGGAAGAGCCAAATTTTATTATGAATGAATATGTATTTTAAAAAGATGTATGGCTCTAAGCCAAAATATTAAGATATTGTAATAATTTTTTTTATTCATTGTATGTGGTTCATTATATTTTGGAAGGAAGTTTTTTTATGTACAGTGAAGTCTGGTTGTAATGGATGTAGGGGAATCGTACAAGGACAAGGAGATACCATGACATGCAAGATGAAGGTACTTTTAGGACTTGGGACCATTGCTATTTGGGCAGAAGGGGTCGCCGTGTAGGGTACTGAAGAAATGTACCCCAGGTACCATTCTGTATTCAGAAGTACGGAAATTTATACTGAACAAAACAAGTCTGGGATCATGCATATTTTGGAGGACATTCTTTTGTAGTGGAGACTGAGTACACAATTTCATGTAAATATCCCCCAAAATATTCCAGATCCCCAACTGTTTTGGTTCAGGATACATAACTCTGGAGCAGCTGTGTGAATCCAGTAAGTAGGTGTGAATCCCCTTCCAGAAACCTATGAATGTGGGTTCGAATCCATGTTCTCCCCGATTATGATTCTAGGTTTGTCAGCACCTGACCCGTGCTCGTGGGTTTCACCGAAGTGGTAAACATCTGAGACCTGCATCACTTCAGGCTTTCCTCCCACATTAAGCTGACACGCCGTGATATAACTGGAATACTGTGAAAAGCGGTGTTAAACCCAACTCACTCACTCACTTTACATGAAAGGTCAAACTGAAAAAGGTCTCTCCTAGAGTACAATTGTGTATTTTTGATTCAGCCAAGGTATATTTCGAGTACCCTACACGCCATAACCTTTTCAGTGTTACTCAGATGTATGTAAGAATTCAAGATTCGTGATTACTAAATTATTTTCACACTTAACAATTTCAAATGTTCAAAGGTAATAATTGAATAAAATGAATGATGTTTGTTTCTGATTCCTAGACAAAATGACCACCTATCCATGTGTTTAAGAATTGTATTAGTTTGTTGGTGGAAATTTACTGTGTTATGGTGATTAGTTAAAATTATTTGTTGAATTACAGGAAGTGGATTGCGTGTAGTATGACCAGTATTATTGAGATCTAACGAGTTGTGTGCCATCTCTTGTAAGGCGCCAGCTGGCTGCAGTAGTTGCTAGCAACAAAGGAGGGCAGTTTTCGAAGAATAGTTTATTTATAAAACAGAAATATATTTAATAATCTAGTACGGTTGTAAGACTCAGATCCACGAAGTTAGATTGTGTACATTGCACAATCCTAGACCTACAGAAATACATAACACTAGGCAGGGTACAGGGTGCCCAAAGCTAAGATCTTTGAGTTATTGGGGTGGGTGGGGTTGGGGGGGTTATCATTTGGATATAATGTCATGCAGAAGTGAATTGTGTTTCTCTGATAGCAGGTCCAATAGAGAGGAAGCGGTTTGATGCTCAATTTTACATTGTTGTTTCTGAATTTAAGAAAGTACAAGGATTAAGGTATCCCCAAAGTTTAGCAAATACTGTTTTCCTCCCAACTTACCTGCCTAGGATACTTATACTATTCAACTTTTGATAGGGATGATCAGATATGACAGTCTGTTTAAATATACACTTGGCTTGTTATGAGAATCAGATTTTTATATCATGATAAAAAAATCAAAAGCGGAGTCATATTTTGTGGAATCCCAGTATAAATATAGTCGTAAGAACAAATAGGGCGTCCTCTTTTTATTAATCTCGGTTTGAACATGAAGTAGTCTACCACAGAGATCCTTCATAGATCTGAGTCCTACAGAGTTTTTTTACTAGCAACAGTCATGCTCAGGATTTATTTGGTAAGAGTGTTTGTGAGGCATTTATATTCCATTACACAGACTCTAACTCTGTTTTCTTTGAAAGGAAAGTATTGTGTATCTCCTAGTGATCTGCTCGCCACATGTTGCTGTCTACATGTATAGCAAGTGTTTCAAAAGGCATGATGTGTATAATATTGTTATTGTTGATTGTTGTTGCTGCCAACCGAACACTAATTTTATGCCAAAATGTTAATTTTATCAAAGTGCTGATGAATTTTGTTTTGTTGGTATTGTTCTGATAACCGCCCTTGTGCCCTAAACACAGTCTCTGTAGATGAATCTATAATCATACAAGCTGTTGCCAGAAAGCTGCTCAGTGTTGCAAGCATGACTAACAAACACTGTACCGTATTCGACGTAATAAGCCCCCTGGACTTGAAAGATAAATTTCGTGGTTTATGCTGACAGCCTGAAATGTTTATGTACGACAGATATATTTTTCCAGAATTTAATTCCCCATAATTAACAGTGCATATAACACACGAGTGCGTATTATACGCGAATAAATAAGTCTTGTGTACATTGATCAATCGGAAGGGGTGCTATTTGGGATTGTTCACTAGCCAATATATTAGCAAATATCGCCATGGGCGCTTATTAGAGCGGGGCGCTTATTACGTCGAATACGGTATTTGATGTTATCCATTGCTTCATTGCAAAACAGCTGTTTTTCCAATGCTGTTTTTTATGCTGACAATAATCATTGTTTGCTGCATCATAATTTTTACTGTAGTCTTTCCACTGGATCAATGGATTATCTTACCTGTAAAATATGTAACTGCCAGGCAGTTTTTAAAAAAATCACTTGTTACCATGGTAACCAGAACATGCATTTTATAGGCTTCTGGGAATTGGAAATTTGGGTGCTTGAATGAAACAGTTGCAAACTGTCTTCTGGAAATTTTGTATGTTCTTTACGTTTTGTGGTGAGAAAAACAACTCTTCAAATACCTGGCGCAAGACTCCTGTAGTATGTGTATAATGCAGTGATGTCTCACAAGGATAGGTGATGTGGATCTATACACTGTCTTCTATAGAGGTGCATGTCAACCATGTCTAATGCTGTAGATTGGTTTATGCTGTCAGCTGTTTTAGGCTGGTTGGATTGACCTGACTGCCATAAGAGATCAGAATAGTTTTTTGCAATAACTGACTATGCACGGCGATACGCAAGACAATTGGGAGATTCTGTTAAACAGGATGTAGTTTTAGAACAGGAACATTTAATGTTATGAACACACATTACTGAGTGCAACCAAGTTGTGAGATACATGACTGTTGATTGCAAGCACCCTTCTGCTGTATGGCTGCCCCTGTGCTCTCTGTAGGATTCGTTATCACTGCCACTCCATAGCAATTTAACTTCCCCTTCTCAAAATGAACAGAAAAGCTGTTTAAAAGATATTTTATTTATTTCAGTATTAATATTATAAATAAGTATTTCAGATCTTTGACTGCTTGACAGAAAAAGAAAATCACCAGGGCTTTTCATGGTAATTATCTAATGATGTCAATTAACACTATAGATGTCTGTGGAGGTGTCAATCTATAGGTATAATATTGCCAACTACAGTCCTCTCTCACTGCAGTCACTTGCAAAGGGCTGTTGGACAAATCAGGAATTAGTGCACGACCTCTCCGACACAGCTTACCAAAGTTAACCTTCAGAAGGCTCCCATACTATGAAATCTGGACTCACTTTAAGTAGTAATAGCCTCACAATTACAAAGAAAGACAGAATCCCCCTAAAGTTAGCATCGTAATGATAAGAACCCAGCACATTTTCAGTGAAACAACACTGCAGGATTTACTGTGCCAGGGTCCATTGAAACTACGCTGGGGCCTCTTTTCGATGCAAACTCTATGGGGATTGTGTCTCTGTTTGTAATTTTTGTGGCTCTTTCTATTTAAAGGTGTACATATTTCCATAGTTTGGGAGCCTTCTGCAAGTTTTCTTTGGGAGGCCTGTTTTTGATGTTGAACAATTTTTCAGCTGTATTCAGGTTGTGAGCATTGTGAGGAAAGCTTTGACTAGGCTGTAGCTTGTTGGTACTGTAGATAGTAGTGGAGACACAATCATGGCTCACGGTCACAAGATGGGATCTTTACACAGTCACAATGTGCCTTATCCCCCTGTCTTTCAAGTTGTTACTTTCAGTTCCTACTAAAGTTAAGTTGCCATGTAACGTTTCAGTAAACAATGATATTTTAGGGTAAAGGGTTGTGTTGTCAGGCTGGGCTGTGTAGATAAAATAATAAGGCCATTTTTTCTTTTTGGACACACTGATGACCCAGTCGTCTAAATCGCTGCAATTTGCTGTGTAGAGTTGCATCATTTAGGCTCACCAGAAACATATTATTGTGGGTTCAAATCCTGGTTTGCCCCGATTATGTTTCTAGGTTTGTCCGCACCATATTTGTGCATGTGGGTTTCACCAAAGTGGTAAAACATCTAAAACCTGCATCACTTCTGGCAGTCCCTCCACATCATGCTGATACGCCATGATATAACTGGAATACTGTTCCAAGCGGCGTTAAACTCAACTCACTCAGTCACACACTCTTTTCTGTTTTGTTCTCTTTGTTTACAGAGGAATTTCCCCAAAATGAAATGTTAGATAAATGATTTAAGTGATATGTTAGGAAATTAGTTAGATTGGGTGATAACATTAATCTGTCATGGTTTCCTAATAAAGTTAAATTTATTTTGTTCTGTTGTGATACGTTGATCTGAAAAGAAAATTCATCAGTTAAGAAACAACACATAAGTGATTGACGTAGATTTGTTTATAGGAAGTTCATCACACTGAGACCAGATTTAGTCACTTTTTGGTCGGCTGCACAAAGAAGAAAAATTGTTGTCCTTAAAATATAAAATAAATTATATTTCTATGTGGGGGACAAATAACCAAGTATTAATGGTAAGAAATTAAACATTCTCAAATATCCAGGGTAGTATTTCCCAATTTTAATGATGAATACACTGGACCCATAAACTACCATAGCTTTGTTTTCAGTCTTATTCTGACACAATTATAAAAAGATGCTCCCAATATAGCACTATTCGTAGTAGTTTAATTTTAAGTGTCACACACACTTGAACATGGAATGAATATACACACAGTATATGCATGAAGCAGATAACCACAATTTGGCTAATGAGAATTTCCAAATGAATCTTTGCTAACAAATGTGTCTGGTTTATTATTGAACAGAGATATACTACACTGCATGATTGAGGATGGCTCTGCTAGGCTACAGGTTTACTGAAGTCTAGCACCTGTTGTGTCTTTTTTTCTTTCTGCGTATACTCCATCAGCTGTGTCTCCACTGACTACTTCCTTACCATGTCAGGGCCAGGAACAACTGAAGGATGGAATTACAATGTAATGCTGTGTTTGTGTAAAAGTTTTTTACAATGTAAGGAGAGCATAAATCTTTGGCCATACATAGTTTATACTTGGTTTACGAATCCGCCGGGAAATCTTTTTGAAAATTATTGATTTTTTTCATAATCTGTTGACTAGAAATAAGTAGAAGTTAATAAAAAAAGCCAACGCATTTACTGTCGCTACTAATATACTTCAATATACATTATTTAAAATAATATAGTTAAAACCTGTTTAAAATGTCTTAAAAACTTTAAAACACCACGAATTATAATGAATCACAACTGACCTGTGTCCATAATGGAAGGGAGATAAGTCTAAACATTTTTCTTTCCCTGTTTCCCCCCACCTCCACTTAACATTTTGAGGAAATAAAAAAAAATTGTTTGGAAATAATTTTTTATATATTTGTATACTTATACACGCCTGAATTTTTTGGCCAAAAATCGGTAAACCTAAGAAAAATAAAAATGTCTGGCCCTGATGTTTTAGCAACGTGGTGTTGCAAAACCATTGTTAACATGTTAGTCTCACAAACTTGAGATGATTTTGCAGAAGCAGACATTTCCCTGCATTAGGTAAGATGTATACAGTGACATGTTGTGTTCATGTAAGAGAGGTTGCCATGGGGTAGCCTCGTGGTTAAAGTGTTGGCTCATCACGCCCAAGACCCGGGTTCAATTGCCCACATGGGTACAATGTGTGAAGCCCATTTTCCGGTGTGCCCCGCTGTGATATTGCTTGAATATTCCTAAAAGCGGTGCAAAACCATATTCACTCACTCTTGTAAGAGATGCAATCAAAGTTCAGGGTGTCAGTGGTTGATTTTCTTTAATTTGACATTTTAACTCCCATTCTAAAATGTCATGTCTTCCAAGAATGTGCCATTATGTTACCAAACTAAAATTAGTGCTAGTTAAGTCCCCCATGTCCTCCCCAACCAGGGATCTGCATCTTCGTGACTTGGACCCCAAAATGTAATACTGAGTGTCAACTGGATTCATATAGAGACCCAAGGAAATCGGTGTTTTTGATACACACCAGCAGATATCCTTAAGATGTTTAAGCCAACATTTAGTAGATTGTTTACAAAAAAGAAAAAGAATTTGAAGCCCTCTGTCCTCATTAGGGAATAAATGCCTGTGGAGATGGTAGATGAGACCAACCTCTACTCTCTGAAATGAACATATCTTACAGAAAAAAAAACCAGTTAAATTATCTTAATGAAAATATAATAAAAAGGAGCCCAGAGACTCTCTTCACTTTCAGATACTGCAGTAATCTAGACTTGCCAAACATAGATTTGCAATGGCTGTATTGGATTTATTTGTATCAGGGTCTGTATGACAGACTAATGGTGGATAGACTTGAGGTTTTAACAGAAACACTAGATCTTCAACATGACATCTTGTCAGAACTGACTCTATCAAGAAAGTTGTAACAATGTTTTTTCCCATCCACAAGGTGTAGACGTTCTTGTTATAGAACAAGACTTTCTGTTTGTATTGTCTGCTGTGCTTGAAAATTATACTTAATATATTTATTCCCATACTAATTGTATCCATATAATGTGCTGCAGCCTTGGAATTAAGCTGCATGAATTGATATGAGTGATGTAGGCTTAAACGGCAATGAATATGTATATTACAACTTACACCGAACGTGAGGTATTTCAACCTTGTGGATTGTGTCTCTTTAAGTGCCAAATTAATGTCCTTGATTTTGATCTATGTTGTCTTGTAAAATTATGCATGTTTAATAATAATCATGTGTAATTTAAACCATTTGCTTAGATTATTAATACATTATATGCAACTATTTGAGTTAGTAAGGCCTTATGTACATACTCTATGCAGTAGGTGAGACAACAGTGTATTGTGCTATACAGACCACAGCTGTCTGTGATTGTAGTCAGCATTGGGAACATGTGTTGCGAAGGTACCTCGGATACAGGAGCAATATCACCTCATTTGTATTATTTATCGGTGAACAGCAGGAAATAGAAAAATAATAGTTAATGATATAAGAATTGACTAGGGACAGCAGGAGTTTGATAAATTACTCATTAATTTTTTAATATTTCATGTTTGTTTTCAAACATGAAAGTCAATTGGAAAAACACATCAATGACTGTGTAGAATATTTAAATTAGGCCAGTCATAAATAATTCTTGTTTGACTTTCTTTTTTTTACAAAACTGACTGGTTAGGGAAAGGGGATTTTTTAATTTTTTAATTTTTTAATTATTATTATTATTATTATTATTATTATTATTATTATTATTATTATTATATATTAAAGTGAACTTGAATCCTCTACAACAATTTCAGATGTATGTGAATTTATTTTTGTTATCCAGTGAATAAAATATGAACTTAGTAACGTTTCCCTCTGCTGACAAGCATCATGGACCGCACTGTGGTGAGTGCTTGAAATAACAGTCTCTCCATTTACAATAAACCATCATCCTTCATCTTCATTTCAGCACATATTTTGTAAAATATTCATTTGTGATCATTTTCTTAATCATCGTTACCTGTAAATGTACTTTTAAGATACAATAAAAATAAGTCAACTTGTCGTCGTTTGTTTGTTGTTTAATGCTGCACTCAGTAATATTCCAGCTAAAATGATGGCGATCTCTAAATAATCGAGTCCAGACCAGACAATCCAGTGATTGACATCATGAGCTTCGATCCACGCAATTGGGATACGATGACATGCATCAACCAAGTCAGCGAGTCTGACCACCTGATCCAGTTAGTCGCCTCTTACGACAAGCATAGTCGCCTTTTATGGCAAGCATGGGTTGCTGAATACCTATTTTATCCCGGATCTTTACGGGTCACTAGTCGTTGTAATTTCATTTATCAACATGACCAAGTTATGGTTTCTGCACAGTCATTGGGAAATTTTCTGCATTGGTGAAATGTGAGGAAGAAACAATGCAAAGAGTGTCTACCTCGAGAATGGAAGGTCAGTGGTTTGATCCTCTGGCCACGTCATGTCAAAAGACGTCACAAGATTATGGTACTTGTTGTTACCCTGGCTGGCCCTTGACATTAAAGGGACAAAACAAGAACTACCGTAGTCTGCTCAATATACTGTATTAACTCGGGGTATCCCTGTTAAACAGCAATCTAGTTATTATCTAATCTAAGTTTTCGCTGCAGCTAAACAAGGATCTGAGGACATCCAATTACGGGTCACATCAGAACGACCTTTCTCGAACTTTGACCGACCACGGAAACGACTAACAAAAAATCAACATCAGCCAAATAGAAAGCAGTTTCCTCGGGCTTTACGGTACTCATGTCAACCTGGTGACTTCCATTTCAGACTACGCTTGAAAAAAATGTTGACACAGTTCTTGATTCAAATTCTGAAAACTGAACAAAAGAACATTCCAGAATGTCTAATATATGGTTGAGATTGTATGGCAGTGGTTCCCACGTACTGTGCAATGGCTCCTCCATTCAAATGTTTATCCCCCGAAAGCGAGAAATAGACGATAATTTTGATTGAATCAGTCTTACCGGCCGTAACTGCCTTCGGAATACCCCGTGTTAACGTTTTCGAGTTTGCATAATTAGAAAACACATTCCGACTGTCAGTTTCATGATTTGGTAAGCGACGCTTTGATTGGTCAGATGAAAGGTCGTTCTGACGTCACCCATAATGGGATGTCCTCTGATCTTTGTTAAGCGATAGCATGGCATCTGACTGGGTTAGCAGCATAAAACCATCCTAAGTCTGGACAAGTACTAACAGCCACACATGTGCATGCGTATTGCTATATAAGTGTCAATCGTGAATGTCTCGTAGAACCCCATTTCAACTCACCTCACAGCAGGTGCAGGATTGTGGATGCGTTTAGTATGGCTGTGAATCCCAGAAATCAATAGCAACAAAACACAGATTTGGCTTTTGAGGTTTATTCAGCTAGATTCCTTCTGCTCAGGAAACAAAACACAGAAATTGATTTCAACATCAGAACATAAAAACACCATACAAACATGTAGACCAGAGCATGAAAACAACAACTGTTTGATTATCTATACACTGGTTGTCTCCTCAGTCTAAACAAACAGCAGCAAATGCATTCTTCATAAACATTTTTGCAAGATTATGAATTGGGTGTTAAATAAATGTGACAAAACCCTTTCAATAATCTTAAGAAACTGTACGATTCTGACTATACCAAAAACATGTATTTATGAATAACTATCAAATAGTGATGATCCTAGGTATCTTCCGAGCACCACGCAACCAACTGACATTTCATTAGGTGAGCATTTATCAAAACAATCAAATAAATATATATTATTCTGACAAAAGGAATAAAACAACTGGTTCCATTCAGCATGACAGATAGACACCATTGATCGTATCCAACTTGGCCACAGCCCATGGTTATCACAAGTGGTTAATGTGGAAAGAGAGGTGACAACTACGAGTCCTTGTCCTGCTGGAACTTCAATCGTCTCCAACTAACCAACTAGCGGCCATGTCGGACCCATTTTATCAAAGTCTTGTTTCCACCCTTGCCACATCAAGCCCACGTTCCTGTGCTAAAAATCAATAGTCCAATTAGAGAACGGTTCACAAAACCAACATCCATGACTAGTACACTGTATGAAAGTGAGTTACCGCTGCCTGTCTTTTACATCTTTTAAAGCACACCACCCAGGGCTTAAATACAGGAAGTCCCGGTATGTATTACAAGAATGAAACTACCCATGGTAAATCTGTTTAAAAACTGTGACGATGAAATTCCTATGATTGGTTGGTCCCCAGCCATGTTAACAATGGTTCACACAAACACACACACACAGAGATTATTATCCATTCTCAGTCCACTAGGTATTGTTTCTGGGCATTGATTAGCCTAGTGCTGACTTGCCTAAGACCAATGGTTTGATTCCCCACATGGGTACAATGTTTAAATCCTAAGTTGTTATTACTGGAATATTGCAAGAAGCATCATTAATCCCAACTCATGCACTCATTCAAAGACATAACAGTAGACGATGACATCACAATCTGTCTGTCTAAGAAATGCTGACTCAATCAATGACATGCACCAACCAAGTCAGCGAGCCTGACCACCCGATCCCATTAGTTGCCTCTAACAACAAGCATAGTCGCCTTTTACAGCAAACATGGGATGAGGTATACCATATTTCTCGATAATACCCTCAGTTACCAGGCTGAATCATATCCTGGACAGTTCTTCCACGGGAAAGGTTTGGCCTGGGCCAGTTCTGCCCCAACCCATAGCCAGATCCTGAAGGTTGAGACATGGCCCCGTAAAATTGTTTCCCCATGTCAATAGATGTTTGAAAAATAGGAAAGAATGAAAAGTAGAAAAGAACTGATCCATTACTAGATAGAACTGGCGTGGGCTGAACCTTCCCCAGTTCTTAACACCCCTGGATTGAGGTGGGGGATGTTCAGGGGTGTGGAGGAACAGGCCTAGGCTATTACTTCCCCAGGGAAGACATGGCCAGGGGGGAATGTTTCAGTCTGTTACACAAGACATACATTTCTTTCACTCTTTATCCATTGCGTTTAATTGCAAAGATACTAATTGGTAGAATTCCCTGCTTAAAAAGTATCAACTTCATAATCGATTTCCAGCATTTAATTGAGATCCCTGGGATTATTCACATGAATAAAACAGACAACACTCAGAAGTCATGATTGTACGTTTGACCGATTTTGATTGCCGCCGATCAGTGTGCGAGAGTGATATGTGGGTATATCTGAGCGCCTGGTACCAACACATGAATATCTACCGGTCCCTTCAGGGATAACTTGAAGTTAAGATAGGTGTGGATCCAGTGATGAGTAGTAAACGCATATTTGTCCGATCTTTCAACACCTTTCAGTTTAAGATGCATGCAAGCCTTCTTCTGCAAGGTGCTGATCTTATCAAAGTTGACACACTGCTGTCTCATCCAGAAATGTTTGGCTGGATCTATGGAGGGGAAGAAGTATTCCGCTGGTGCCAGGTATGTTCCATCCATGTGATTATCAGGATAATGGTGTGCGCTTAGAAACTGCCGATATGCAAACGTCATAAAATGGGGACCAGTAGAATCCAGAACGTTCCACATGTGGGAGAAAGAAGGGAGATAATCAATGACCATTTTCAAAAATGGATGTCCCTTACGACACGCGATAAAGGCATTGATGATTAGATGTTCGAAGTTGGAATCAAGAATGGAATGTTCGTATGGTTCCTGTGCAAGGATACATGAATACTTGAAGGTGATTGGATTTAACGGTTTTAAACTCTCTAGATCCATGTCCGCATAAACTCCCCCGTACTCATACAGAATGAAGTAACGTAATGCGTCTGCTCTACGAATTCCTTCCGAGTAGCTGTCAAACACTGGAAGAAAGGAAGGATACTTATCGGAAATGAGTTGCCGTGCACTCTCATCAGTCCACAGAATGTACGTCCATCCTGGGTGGTTACGTTGCCAGGTTCTCACCCATTTTTCAAACTTCCGGGGTATTTGGGTATCCCTCCATGTCTGATGGATGATTTTTGGAAATCGAGGTTGGCCACTGACGGGAAAAGTTTCCATTTCTTTGATACCGAGTGGTACGAAGTCATCGGAGATTGGGATTGAGAGGTCAGCAAAGTCTCCATGTTCTCGAATTTGTTCGAATTTAACGAGCCAGTGGAGGATGAATATCAATGTGAATCCAAACACGAGAGTCTTACAGGTAGACCGCCTTTTGTCTTCTCGGAGGAAGAGGCTGCAGCAAAGATTCAGCATCCTCAGGAGGCGATGTCGTGCTGGAACATAAACAAGTGAGTGAGTGAGTGAGTAATACACTATTTCAAGCAGTCATATCACGGGGATCAGCCTAATGTGGGAGGAAAGCATGAAGTGATGCAGGTCTTAGCCGAATATCTCTTTGATGAAACTCATAAGCACAGGAATGGTGCTGACAAACCCCGAAACATAATCAGGCGAATCTGATATTCAAACAAAGGATTACAGGTTTCTGTTGCAACTCTGGTCACCGAAATCAGAGACCATGTCATAGAGGCCCTCCATTATATGGTCTCTGCCGAAATGCAGCGCCTTTAAATTGATGGAGGAGCTCCCCCCTAAGTGGTTATCAAATAATGAAAACATGAAGCCATTTGGTTCTGTTTTGATTGAACTAGTTTTTAAACTAATATAATTAATTGAGACATTGATGATCATAGACGTTCGAAATGTTGTCAAAATTGCTTTCCATCATCTCTGATCTCTTCATACTGATTTGGGTTGTATTTATTTATTAGTTTAATTTGGTTCAAATGCAACAGCAAATGTCTTGGTTATTGTGAGTGAGTATTGTTTTACTGCACTTTTAGAAATTTCCCAGCAATATCACAGCAGGGCAGACAGTTGTCACATATTGTAACTACCGTATTTGACGTAATAAGCGCCCTGCTCTAATAAGCGCCCACGGCCATAATTGCTAATATATTGACTAGTGAACAATCCCAATTAGCACCCCTTCCGATTGATCAATGACTTATTTATTCGCGTATAATACACACTCGTGTGTTATATGCACCCTTAATTATGGGCAATGAAATTCTGGAAAAATATATTTGTCGTACATAAACATTTCAGGCTGTCAGCATAAACCACGAAATTTATCTCAACTCTGTTTTTTCCACCAAAATAATATTCTAATAAGAGCCCCCTATTTCTAATTTTGAGAGCGCCCTAGGCGCTTTTTACGTCGAATATGGTATGTGGTGATTTGAACCCAGGCCTTCGTTATGATGAATGAAGGTCTAAACCACCAGGCTACCAGGCAATTTTTATTATCGTCACATGAACCTCAATATTGACCAATTTGGCTGGTGATAAAAGTTGACCTGTTTACACAAGCCCTGTATACAAACAATATCATGTCAAGTTATTGTCAGAAAACAATCTAAATCCAAGGCTTATCACAGCCCTGATAGACTTGGGCTGGCTATCTGAAGCAAGCCTAAAGTACACATCACATGTCTCCCACCAGAGGACAAACTTAGGCTCCTTTAGATCCACAATATTTCTTATCTCGAGTGAATGACTTTTGACTTCGTTAATACTGACCAATGGCTATCAGACTTGACCAACAAATTGTATATGCCAACATGCAACATTTTTTTACATTTGTTGCATTTATGGCATGGAAAGTCCCGTTTTAGCACCATTGTCACACGACCTTGACCTACATGATATAGACATGTTGGAACCCATAATGCAACAAAATGAGTGCGAGTGAAAGTTATTACCATTGATTACTGGGAAACTAAGTCCACATTAACTTGCTTGTGACTACTTCGGCTGGTTATTGAACTAGACCTGCCTTTTGTGATTCATTAACGATTCCGAAAGAGAAATCTGGAAAAATCCATCAACATCTGGAATCCTAGAATATAACTGGTGTTGTCACCAGTGTATCTGATCCATAGGGGTATTACCAGTTGAGCTAATACTCTGATAAAGTGTCTGAGGGTGTTGGTAGGGTTTACCTTGTGTATATACATAGATCTATCTATCTATCTATCTATCTATCTATCAATTAGGGCTTCAACGAATACACTATGATGCGAATACAATTGGTTTCACGAATATTGGGAAATGAATACGAATATTAATTCACGAATACAATAACAAGTCAGCAGTTGATGTGTTGATTGTTATGTTCAGTGAAGCAAACTATTTGACATGGTTTGTTAATTATTAATATATTATAAATTTCTATACAGCACTTATCCAGGTGCTAGTATCTGCTCAAATGCGACAATGACCAGTGACCACAATACTGTACGATTGCATGTTCATAAATATTCGATTCTAGTGGCCACGAATAACGAATTCAATTCATGAATGGATACAGTTTGATTCACCGAATGCACAAGTGAATCGTAACAGCCCTACTATCTACTCCTCAGAAGAAGTTAAAGAAAACCTGATTCCTTCATATGAACTACATATTAACTATCGTCATATGAACAAATCGGGTGGTCTTTAACTTCTTTTGAGTAGTATATTTGCTGGGGACTCTCGGTGACACATTTTGGGGATTCAAGAACAGCAATTGGGATTCCAGGGTGCCCAAAATCCTTGTCTTTATACATGGGGATTTTCTTGTCTGTATACATAGGGATTTCCTTGTCTGTATTCATGGGGATTTCCTTGTCTTTGTATATGGGGTTTTCCTTGTCTATATACATAGGGATTTCCTTGTCTGTATACATGGGGGTTTCCTTGTCTTTGTACGTGGGGTTTTCCTTGTCTTTGTACATGGGGATTTCCTTGTCTGTATACATGGGGATTTCCTTGTGTGTATACATGGGGTTTTCCTTGTCTTTGTATATAGGGATTTCCTTGTCTGTATACATGGGGTTTTCCTTGTCTATATACATAGGGATTTCCTTGTCTTTGTACATGGGGTTTTCCTTGTCTTTGTATATAGGGATTTCCTTGTCTGTATACATGGGGTTTTCCTTGTCTATATACATAGGGATTTCCTTGTCTTTGTACATGGGGATTTCCTTGTCTGTAATACATGGGGTTTTCCTTGTCTGTATACATGGGGTTTTCCTTGTCTTTGTATATAGGGATTTCCTTGTCTGTATACATGGGGTTTTCCTTGTCTATATACATAGGGATTTCCTTGTCTTTGTACATGGGGTTTTCCTTGTCTTTGTATATAGGGATTTCCTTGTCTGTATACATGGGGTTTTCCTTGTCTATATACATAGGGATTTCCTTGTCTTTGTACATGGGGATTTCCTTGTCTGTAATACATGGGGTTTTCCTTGTCTGTATACATGGGGTTTTCCTTGTCTATATACATAGGGATTTCCTTGTCTGTATACATGGGGTTTTCCTTGCCTTTGTACATGGGGATTTCCTTGTCTGTAATACATGGGGATTTCCTTGTCTGTATACATGGGGTTTTCCTTGTCTGTATACATGGGGTTTTCCTTGTCTATATACATAGGGATTTCCTTGTCTGTATACATGGGGATTTCCTTGTCTGTATACATGGGGTTTTCCTTGTCTGTATACATGGGGTTTTCCTTGTCTGTATACATGGGGATTTCCTTGTCTGTATACATGGGGATTTCCTTGTCTGTATACATGGGGTTTTCCTTGTCTATATACATAGGGATTTCCTTGTCTGTATACATGGGGACTTTTTTGTCTGTATACATGGGGACTTTTTTGTCTGTATACACAGGGTTTTCCTTGTCTGTATACATGGGGATTTCCTTGTCTGTATACATGGGGATTTCCTTGTCTGTATACATGGGGACTTTTTTGTCTGTATACATAGGGATTTCCTTGTCTGTATACATGGGGACTTTTTTGTCTGTATACATAGGGTTTTCCTTGATAGTGTTGAAACTTAATGACTGAGTGAAGAAAATCTGACATGGCCTGTCCAAACATTTATTGCACTTCTGATAAGAACAGAAATTGTAGATAAATCTTAAATACATGTTTCAATATAACAAGCTTCAATCATTACAACGATACCCTTTCATCCCCTCTTTTTTTTCATTGCCTCTTATAAACCCTGCTTATAAACCCTGTACTTTTACGTGTAAGGGACACAATATTTTGTATCCAGTTAAGACCCTGGATTTTGGCTTGGTGCTGTTTTGAACAGTATTTCAGTCACATATAACATTGTGGGGCTAAATTATAAAAAAAGCTTTGTCGGTTGATTTATTGAAGAAGTAAGATCAGACACTTCCAACATTATTTTGGGACAAACCTTTAGAGTGTCACAAGAGCTGGTGCAAAGGATTCTAGGAAAAAGAAAAAAGGGAGTATTTTTGCAACATTGTTCACAACAACAATGTTAAGTGCAAACAGTAATGTCATGAACAAACTTCATACAGTCTTTACATTCACACACAGTTTAACCCTGTACCCTGTGGTTCTTAAGAAGATGATTTAAAATTTGCTTAAAACAATTTTTTAACACAAAAACTTTTGTAAAATCACCGACCTGAACAAAATGCCCCCAAATGAAGGAACCAGTCTGCCAGATTTCTGCTTGGTCAGTCAAGCAGTATCAGAGGAGGATGGTTAAATACAAAGGGCTTTTAACGACAAAGGTCAGATTCAGGGTTACTGGGGGTTAGTGGTGGGTCATATCTTAAAGTATTATGTCACAAGAAAGAGACCTAGCTCTTTTTGAAGTGGTGAATGTCCCTAGGCAAGTGGTGGGTGAATGTCCCTAGCCAAGTGATGGAGAATGTCCCTAGCCAAGTGGTGGGTGAATGTCCCTAGCCAAGTGATGGAGAATGTCCCTAGCCAAGTGGTGGGTGAATGTCCCTAGCCAAGTGATGGAGGAATGTCCCTAGCCAAGTGGTGGGTGAATGTCCCTAGCCAAGTGATGGAGGAATGTCCCTAGCCAAGTGATGGAGGAATGTCCCTAGCCAAGTGGTGGGTGAATGTCCCTAGCCAAGTGACGGAGGAATGTCCCTAGCCAAGTCGTGGGTGAATGTCCCTAGCCAAGTGATGGAGGAATGTCCCTAGCCAAGTGGTGGAGGAATGTCCCTAGCCAAGTGGTGGGTGAATGTCCCTAGCCAAGTGATGGAGGAATGTCCCTAGCCAAGTGATGGAGGAATGTCCCTAGCCAAGTGGTGGGTGAATGTCCCTAGCCAAGTGATGGAGGAATGTCCCTAGCCAAGTGGTGGAGGAATGTCCCTAGCCAAGTGATGGAGGAATGTCCCTAGCCAAGTGGGGGAGGAATGTCCCTAGCCAAGTGGTGGAGGAA